GAACTTTGCGATATGGAGTAGCCGAGGCAATAGGCTCCTCAACCTCTCCACAGCAAAACAGTTAAAACAGAACAGAGCGTAGATACTCAGCATGTGCGCCGTTTACTAGAAAAAGCACACATATGTAATTTTAAGGACCGTAGCGCTTATCACGCTGCGCTGACCATCCAACACTTGCACGGAAAGGCAAGTGCTTCCAACGCTTTGCTAAAACGAGACGGTGGTGGCACCTACCCATCACCTTGCGTTCTACACCTTATCACCTCTGAGGCGGGCGCGCACACCCGTCTCAGAGCCACGTGCTTTGTTTTTGAAAAAAAAAAAGTACCAGATGGCAGTCATGTCTCACGTGTGGCGTGACTTAATGCGCTCGTTTGCCTCCGCTGCACGCTCGAGGCACTCTAACGCAGCGCCTTTAGAATACAATTCACCGTTTTTCTTGAGCAGAACATCAAATAAATGTTTTGTTCACTCTATCCACACGCAAGACTATCGTCTTTCAACATTTGCAGATTAAATGCAGATACGGGGTCATTTTTTTTCATTATTTTTTTCTTCGCATCCAGCAATAGCATGAACAGACGAAAATACTAGTGCGCGTGAGTGGAACTATGTGTGTTCACGATGTTCACACCCTGCACAGGGCATAATTTTGGTAATTTGTTACCTTTTAATTTGAAATAACAAATTCCCTTCGTGTATAAGTGTTACATCGCACAGAACGAGAAAGTTGCGGAGGCAGACACTTTCAATGCACCAGCACCGCTCTCTGGGTACGTAAAGTCCCTGGATATTTTTCAGGAAAGTACCACCATCCTTTAACCGAGTGAGTGAGTAACAACTTTATTAGTCGAAGGGGTGAGGGGTAAGGGAGGCTAAGCCACGAAGGCTGCCAGGCTGTGTTTCTCGATGACTTCTTCCGCTCGTTTCAGGACCCGTGTCTGGATGTCTATGTCGTTGCTGGAGAGAAGGGCCTCCCATTGTCCCTCGGTGGGGGGTGAGCAAAGGAGGTCGGCGGGCGGGGGATCCTCCGGGCAGCCCCAGAGGATGTGGTTCAACGAGGCAACGTTGCCGCACAGGCAGCAGCGTGGATCGATGGCACCTGGGTGCATGTATGACCGAGCCGCCGTCCCTTCTCTCGCCTCTCGGGCCGCGACGAGCATCGCCCGTGTTATCAGCGTGACATAGCATTCTTGATAGGAAAGTGGCACGAGCCGGGTTATCGGACCGGCGCCCGCACGATGGCTGTTCGGGAGAGAATATAGATTAGGTCTGGACACCTTGGGAAAGGAGGGTTGGACACTTTGGAGAGATTATGAAGGAGAGTGTTGCTACTTTCTCTATTTTAAGGGGCTTTATGGATACGTTGTCCGCGGCGCTATCTGACGGTTCGCAGCACGGTGCACCCACGAGACCGAACATTATCTGGACGCTCAGGTGGGCTCTGTGTCAACACCTGACCATTCTTAGACCATAACTCGTATATTCGTTGGCCGCGTGCGCTTGCTCTGTTACAATCACTTGATTGATTGGTTGATTGATTGATTGATTTATATGTGGGGTTTAACGTCCCAAAACCACTATATGATTATGAGAGACGCCGTAGGGGAGGGCTCCGGAAATTTAGACCACCTGGGCTTCTTTAACGTGCACCTAAATCTGAGCACACGTGCCTACAACATTTCCGCCTCCATCGGAAATGAAGCCACCGCAGCCGGGATACGAACCCGCGCCCTGCGGGTCAGCAGCCGAGTACCTTAGCCACTAGGCCACCGCGGCGGGGCTGTTACAATCTCTTAACGGCACAGGGTGTTTACTTTGCGCTAAACACTCGGCAATACACACAAACGGGAGGAGGGGTCATATAAGCGGTCGACAATATGTACAGGAACCGTCGTAAACATACAAATTGAAACAACGAATGGAAACACAAGTAAACACCCGCGCTGCTTCGAATTTCCTAATGGTACTCTTTAGTGGGAGATGGTGGTTTTTTTTTTTTTTTCAAAAAGCACGTCACAGGAACACTCGCCTTCCTGTAGCGATAAGAACACGCTAAACGGAGGCTCGTCGATATTTCGACCGCGTGTCACGCCAATAACTGCAAATTTAGGGCACAAAAAAAAAAAACAAGAAAATACAGCACGCAAGCGCTGCCTAAAAACTGAAGCGTAAATTTATTGAAAAAAAAAACATTGCCTACGTAGCATAATTGCAGAAGCGTTTCAGGTAATTGTTATTTGTTACGTGGAAGCGTGGACCCGGCAATGGTAAAGAATAAATGTCGAGGTTCCAGCAAGGAATGAAACTCCAGCATTCCGGGCGGTAAATGATTATTCCAGCACAGTGCGACACCAGGTCTCGGAATTGCTTTTAATATACTCGAACGTTCCAAAAACGTCATCTATGACTGCAGTGCTGGCTATCTATTTTTATCAACAGTATACTTATTGTCACGCAGCCCTGACGCTGAAAATATGGCAGCCGGCGTTTCCAAGGTCTGCATTTCGCAGAACTTGTGGCCGGTAAACTGACACTCAGACTTACAGCAAGAAATTCACGCTGTTCACTATCATCGGCCCAATGAGCGTCGATAACCTGATCGGTGGCGAGGCGCGTTGGCATTTGTATACAGGCATCATCAGTGGGGGCTGCGGTTTTTTGAGAATAAACTCAGCGACTCTTGTTTGTGCTCTCAAGCCTAAAAGACGTTTTGAAGTGTGGTTTGAAGACGATTCGAAAAATCTTCTAGAATACTCTCAGACGTCCAGGCACGATTTGCACAGGGCAGCACACGTACGTTAGGCCGGAAATGTAGAACACGGAAAGAAAGTGGCAGGTATGGCAAAATAAGTACTCCTATATGATGCAGCTGTCACGTCGGGTGGACATCCTTGGCGGTTAGGTGTCATCCTCTGAAGTTGATTTCAAGAGCTGTGTCTAGGACTACCATCACCGTGAGCGTCAAACGCAGATCAGCTGGCCCGCTTGTGGTGTTTCTAACATGCCCATGTTGTGGCTGTCATCGTTTCGCAACTGTAAACAACGCTTTATATAAAACATGTGTCGCTGTTCAACATGTGGCTGTGCGTACGGCAAGTGCACATATTTTTAGCGTCATTTCGATACGTGGCACTAAATAAAATAATTACAGCACCTTCCACGCGCGGTACGCATAACATCGATTCGCACGGCACGTGGGATTTGTCGAATTTTTTTAGAGTCAGCATTCCCCAGCTCATATATCTAATAATTTAAGACTCGAATAAACAACTTTTCACGACATGCGCGTAAGCTTATAACGAAATGAAATAAGACACTCGTGCAGCCTCACGAGCGTTAATCGCGGCGCTGCATTTGGGAATGAAACTCGATGACGTAAAATTAAAGGAAGGCGCTGACAGGCATATAGACCCACGCTGAGTATCATTGCTTAATTGAATATCATGGTAAATATTATGCAAATGTAAGTTTCAAGTTCCAACGGCGTGCACGTGTTTTATTTATTTATATTTATTTATTTATTTAACAGTACTGCCAATCTTATCAGAGATTACAGCAGGGAGGGCATACGAAAGCGAATATTTGTTTACACAAAATCATAATGATGGAACACACAAGAAAAAGCCGGAGTTACGAAATGATATACAAATCATAGATTATACATTGCCATTATAAGAACACACAATCAAACAATTTTAGTAACAGCAAAATCATGAGTTAGGTTATCGTTAAAAACGACGGCAAAAAGATAACGCTTGCATTTGTGATATGGGGTAGGGACAACAAGTAGGCAGGACAACAAGTAGGCATGTCACTCATCATTTCTAAGTATGAAGCCCGTTTCGATTTCGCATTAAACGAAATGGTGCCTCTGGCTCCGAGATTTGAAACTGGGTGCATCTGCTGAGCAACAATATTTCCCGCAGGCAGTTGGCATGCATTACGCTGCCGCTGTATTGCCCTGACGATTTCAGCATACGAGTCTCAATTAGGGTATCGCTAGTTTGGCAAAGCAGTTTCCGATCATGAACAGACATGCCCCTGGCTCCGCCACGGTGGTCTAGTGGCTAAGGTACTCAGCTGCTGACCCGCAGGTCGCGGGTTCAAATCCCGGCTAGGGCGACTGCATTTCCGATGGAGGCGGAAATGTTGTAGGCCCGTGTGCTCAGATTTGGGTGCACGTTAAAGAACCCCGGGTGGCCGAAATTTCCAGAACCCTCCACTACGGCGTCTCGCATAATCATATAGTGGTTTTGGGACGTTAAACCCCACAAATCAATCAATCAGACATGCCCCAGTTTGAGACCGCTGCTAGGGGCGAGTAACTTTACCACCTGTTAAACTTTTTTTAGGTAGCTTTATAAAAGAGTATTTTGCAATTAGGCTGCACTTAAGTTCAATATCCGAGGCCCATGAAGCGAAACTGCCGCTTCATTACTTGCCGGACAATGATCGACAAAGCCACAACTCACAGCATCTCAGTACGCCCGGCGTGTTTCCTGTGGTACAATCGCAATGTACTGACCCACCGGGGTGCTTAAATTAACAAAATTACATTACATTAACTTTGCAGGCGCAACGACCCTTTCGGGTGTATCCTGCGAGAGAAAGTTGAACCACTTTTGTTTTGTTCTTTTACGCGTCGAACGGCCGAAAGTACACCTGCACCTTTTCTTTCCTTCCAGTACCGGAGACGTCGCTTTGGAATGCGTTAAGCGCATCCACCACTCCGCCCATCCGACCATCATCAAGTTCCACGTATTACTCCTTTGCAGGGGGTTCCCCTCCGGTCTACCCTTTGTCCAGAGACGGACCACTGCTTTTTTCTCATGTTTTTTTTTAAACTTTTCTTTGGTGACCCCTTCTACGGGCGAAAGAGCCAAAAAGAAGACACGCATTCCGGTTCCTTGTCACGCGTGGCTGTTCCGCCTCGCTCTTTCCACTTTCGTTTACCTTTTCCTTCTCCGCTTCTTTCTGTCTCGCTGTTACAAGTCGGCGCGAGTTGCCCGGCAGGAGCCACCGAAAGTTCGAAAGCACCGGCGCTTTTCGGAATAACCCCGGAGGGCGGTTCCGCAGCAGCAGCACCTGCGTCTTGGTTTCTCGCTCGCATCGATCCCGACGAAGACCTCAGGAACGACGGCGAAGACGCGTCGCGTTGGTGGTTTCCCCGCACAAGGTCGTTCCAGTCGTTGGCTTCGTGGATCTTTCTTCTCCCGGCTCACACAGGAAGAAAACATGACGTCGAAGTGACAGTGCGGTACGCTTCGCAGCTGCCGAAGATGCGTTTCCATGGGCCCGACGAGTCGGGACATGTACGAGCCGAGTTCGACTCTGCACGACGAAATGAACGGTGATTGTCGAGCTGACCCGCCCTCGTGATCGTAGTCCGCGTCCCGTAGATCTTTCTCAAGCCTCACCTTCGCGGATCCGAGCGATTTCATCGCCTGATCTGCAACGTTCCTTCACGAACCGCGTCGTACGTGCAAACTTCATGGAAACAGGAACGGCGGTTCTCAAGCGGGTCGCGTGATCCAATGTCGACAACTTCCGAATCGTCCAGCTAGGGCGAGGCGGAGTATTTCGTCGTTAACCCGCTGTGTGGTGTTTCACTCCACCCGACCTAAGGAAGGAAACCAAGTGGAACGTGTTTGCAGTAGCCATCGACCCCGCCGTGATCGGATGGCATATCGTCGGCGAGGCGATAAGCGTCAGTTGTCACAGACCTTTCCCTTGCTGAACGTCATCCTGGCAACCAAGGGCTACTGTTCGAGATAACCAAAGAGCAAGCTTACTATTTCCAGTGCTCGCTGAACACCCTTCAGTTCCTTGAAATGTGCGACAGTGCTTCGTGCAATTCCAAACGTGAACCTTGTGCCTGCGTAAGAATGTAGCTTTTATAAAGAACCTCTGGAGCCGTGCAGGCAGCAGCAGGATTGACTCAGAGTCCGATACGGAAGAGTTGGCATTCAACAGATCCAGCATCCTGTCTGCGCTGTGGAATAGACCTTAATCCTGCGCCCTCATATGTACCAGCGAAGATGAGGTGATAAGAACCCCTGCCCGTGTTCAGGTGACGTTACTTAACGTTTATCAGTGTCGAAATGGCTCTTTCATCTGCACCAGCATTGCACTCTGCCGGTTTTCAGTGCCGGATTGTTCGCTTCATCGCGCGGATCTGGACAGTGGCTCTGGTGTCGTTAATCGCTCTCGACACGGCTATCTGCGCACCGCACCGACAGCGCCTCAAGGGTAAGTACGTGTTTGTTTTTCGATTATCTTTTTCTACTCTCATTTCGAAGGACGAAACAAGCAAATATTGAGAGTCATCAGTTGGCTTAGGGTAACACAGAAGGGTCAAATAACTGGCGTGGAATGGAAAATAACCCTATCATTTCAGCCAATCCAACGCAAACACTGCAGCTTTAAGCTTAATACAGAAAAACTCGGCAAGCATGTTGCGATAAGGCAGATGCTTGGGCTAGTTGTTGATTGGGAATCAACATATTTGCACAGCGCAAGACTACAAGTAGTTACGACGTAACTACAGAAGAAGAGACAAGGACAGAAAGAGCGCTGACTTCAACTGAAAATTTATTAGCGAAAACGCTGGAAATATGTACTTCTGACAGAACATCACCGTGCAATCGCGCAACCTATTGCATCACAGCAAGACAATCATCATCTCATTATATGGCTACAACGTCACAGCTCAGCACAAATTCACGATCTATTGTGTCAAAGCATGTGGCGTTGTAACCATATAATGGGATGGTGATTGTCTTGCTGTAATGCAGTAGGTTGCGCGATTGCGCGGTGATGTTCTGTCACGGGTACATATTTCCAGCGTTTTGGCTAATAAAGTTTCAGTTGAAGTCAGCGCTCTTTCTGTCCTTGTCTCTTCTTCTGTAGTTCCGTCATAACTACTCGTAGTCTTGCGCTGTGCAAATATGTTGATGTTGCGATAGGAACTTCCAATCAAGGCTTCATGGTGTTTCGCAGAGTCATTACGTTGGAGAACCTTGCTTGAATGCGTCCGACAGCGATACCGGTAGACAAGAACTCGGCTCGACTTTTCGGCTCTGGTAATTAACGGTACATTTTTCAAACATGGGATCGAATCAGAGCGTACCAAAGACATGCTATCAGTCTCGGTTGCTTCGACAGACCACTGATCTGATGTTTCGCATTTACATTAGCGGTAAATGATCGAGATATATCCGCAAGATAAACGCGAAAACACTTATCCACCACGTTCTTAATTTCTGGACGATGACAATAAACGAAATACCAAGCCAATATATACTTGCTCGCACTATTTTGGGTGATCGCTGTCTGTATTTGAGAGCAGACATGTTAGGGTGTGTGTTATATCGTAAGGAAGCTAATTTTTATAGTGACGTACAAATTATGGTTGAGAGAAAACACGCAAAAAAATCCGTAGGGGTACTGCCTGTATGAAGCGGCACTACTTTCTCCTAGTTATATCCACTGGAACATGACGATGCGGGGCGTCTTAAGAGCGAGGGAAAAAAAAAGCAAAATTGAACATTTGGTCATACGTCGTTCGACACTGCCGAGTGGGATTCCCATCAAATTGATATAACGTTTCAGATAAAAAAGCGTGAAACATGCGCTGGAGACTACGCAGGCGCTTGACGTTACTTTACATAGTATTAGACATAATAGAAATTTACCTGTACTGCATACGTTGCGCTCGCAACGCAAAAATAATGGGAAGGGAAACGACACATGTTTGCATTGTTATATGAAAAGAAGTATATGTCGAAAAGGAGTAGAGTACAAAATTTAAGTAATTTCTTTATAACTGACAGTTCTACATTTAGAAAGGCAACTCTCTCGTGCGTGCAGTCTTTTTTTCTCTCTCTAAATTGAGTCTCTACAAACTTTCATAGTTTTTGTCAACTCAACTAGCACGATTGGGCTTTGCAGCGATTCTGAAAGAACAAGTGTTGACATCATATGTAGTTCCAAAGGCTTTCTTTGTGTGTGTGTGTGTGTGTGTGTGTGTGTGTGTGTGTGTGTGTGTGTGTGTGTGTGTGTGTGTGTGTGTGTGTGTGTGTGTGTGTGTGTGTGTGTGTGTGTGTGTGTGTGTGTGTGTGTGTGTGTGTGTGTGTGTGTGTGTGTGTGTGTGTGTGTGTGTGTGTGTGTGTGTGTGTGTGTGTGTGTGTGTGTGTGTGTGTGTGTGTGTGTGTGTTGCTAATGTTATGACTTTTACAACCCTTCGGTATAATAAGTTGACAAGAATAAGAGGGTGACTTGAAATATATAATAACGCTATAAAACCAATTTTTGGTTTTGTGTTTCAGTAAATTATCTTGCAGTTACGACAATATATGCCTGATATATTCTCTCTGATTCTGGCTTCCTCGCTTCGGCACGCTCCCTGGCTTACATGATGTTGCTTGGGGTGAAGTGTCGAATGTGGCATCGTGACACATTATAATTTATGTCTGATGTAAGCAGTAATAATTATGCAAGGAAGCTGTATACATCGGCACGTACTGTAAAACATACACTCTCTATGACAAAAACGGAGTATTTGGGGAATACTTCTGCCACGGTGGGTGGGTGGGAGGGTTAACAATAATTATCTGACTTGTTCGTGTTTTCTTTTTTGAAAACCCGACGCTCGCCATTTTCCTATCAATTATGCTATGCCACGAAATGTTAGGAAGAACGCATCACCCACCGACCCATGCTTTGAAGTCTACGTTAGCTCGCACAGTGGCTTTGAGTAACAATTTTTTTTTCAGAGAACAATATAGAATTCGAATAAGCTCCCAGAGTTTGTCATTGGAGACCCTGATTTCGATCACTGACTGGAAGAATATTTTTCAGTGAATCTATGATACCATTGTTTCGGTGTTTGATGAGTGGTTAGTGTATTAGCTTTTTGCACTACATGTAAACTTTCCTGTTATCACGTTGTGGTTGTGGAAATTTTACATTCAATTGTTACTTTGTTTACTAAACCGTTTTATGAACGTGTATATTTTAGATACGTTGTTTTACGGCAATGTTGTCACATATGTGTGTCCCTCCTGCTTTGAGCCGGCAGCCTCGGCCTGCTGTATGGCCGCCATTCGTTACCGCGAACTATCGAAACCGTTGTGATAACGCGAGAAAAGTATGCGAAATAGATGACGCTAATGGTTGTGGAGCAGAAGCACTCCCCAAATACTCGATATCTTCTTAGAGTGTAGTTTTCTACAGTATTTACTAGAGGGAACTCTGGCGCTGCGATTGTTCAGCCACCATGGTATAAACCTTTTCACCGAAGGCCGACATAGTCCTCTTTTTGCTGCTGTTATCGTACTTGACCACCAAAAAATGCGCTGCCAAGGTTGTGACATCGGCTTTTGTGCTTCCGTGCAACCGCCCAGAAAGAATAGGCTCCTCCTCTCTGGTAAAAAGGTTCTGACTATAGTCTTCATGCTTTCTGACATGCAACGCGCTTGTGGCTTCGTTTATTGTTGCGTTTTGGTTTGGCTAAAGAAGGTGCCGTTGCGAACTTCGTTAACTTAGCGAGTCCTGAATTGATCTGGTTTTTTAGTTGGTGAACCCAATAAGGTCCAGGCTATGAAGCGTAACAGCTGTGCTCAGCTTCGTCTTGCGGCAAAGTGAATTCAGGATACACGGAGCCTAACGGAGATGAGAGAACGAAGTTCAGGCAAATCCATGTACTGACCATCTGACCATGCTGACTCAAGCGCTGTGCGTTGCAGCTATAGCATAGACACTAGCGCCACAGTTCCTTCTAGAGTACTTATTGGAAACCCTATGACATAACACTACTGGACTAATAAAACTGTGCACACCTGCTCCTGATGAACCCTATTTTTAGCCTATTGGCACAAAGCGCTAGGAAGACAGAAGCGCCCAGCTTTACATAACCGAGCAGTTCCAATGAGCGGCGCTACTGTGTTCTAGGCATGTAGCGTCAGGCTGAAATAAACCGTGCACAATCATTTTGGGTGCATCACTCTCACTTCACAGCCCTTCTTGACGGCAACTTTCCCCCCACCTCCCACCACCTTCATCGGTTGACGCATGTTCCATCGCAGACTCGCTCCCCTCTCCCCCCTCCTCGCCTACTCTAAAGCAAAAAAATCGAAGAGGTGCACTTTTGTGGACGAGCTTGTCACATTTTTTGCACTTTAAAATACGTTGCCATATGATAGAATAAAACAGTTGATAGTCATGTGTGTGTCTTTTTTTTGCTTTGTGGGGCGCGTTCTGTGTTCTTGCTGGTAAAGTTTAGTTCAGAGATATGTACTAACCAGGCGGCCGAAATGAAATTTTATTTTAGCTCCTAATAGGCGCCATCAGCGCAAATGACGTCTTGGTGGCTCGTGCCGGAACACCGGAGTGGCGGTCGTCACCCGCATTTTATATTTGGTTGATTGATTAATTGATTGATTTGTGGGGTTTAACGTCCCAAACCACCACATGATTGTGAGAGACGCCGTAGTGGAGGGCTCCGGAAATTTCGACCACCTGGGGTTCTTTAACGTGCACCCGAATCTGAGCACACGGGCCGACAACATTTCCGCCTCCATCGGAAATGCAGCCGCCGCAGCCGGGATTCGAGCCCGCGACCTGCGCGTCAGCAGCCGAGTACCTTAGCCACTAGACCACCACGGCGGGGCCGCATTTTATATTTCCGCATTTACTCCCACACAAGGTGTCTTCTCTCTCGTTAGGCTAGCTGATTTTTGTATCGTGACAGAGCAATTTACGAATACTAGAAATAAAAAAAAAACGTGCGCTTTGCCCTGAAAGGCTTAGAACGGCGAAACTTGGACGTTTCTTATAACTATAATCTGGTTGCTTATATGTTAATCATTTCTATAGGTTGTTGCTAGGCGACGGTATGTGATGAGCTAGGTGCACTGATATGTTGTTTAGCGCTAAGGGGTTCGAGTAAAAATACAGACGGTTGAATTGATACAGGTGTCGGCAATCCAGGGACAGAAACTCTCGTTGAAATCAAGTGTTCGCACCTCTAATAGATTCACGGCCACGTCGCAGTTTGCGTTTAGGGATTTCGTCGCTTCAGACTCTTTTCGCAGTCGCGGTGGCCTTTTTCATGTTCTTCGTTGTGCGTACCGTAGGTTCACAGCTATTTGTTGCTGGGTGAACTGTTGTCTCGTTCACCTTTACTGGACATGGGGTGAGCTGTGGTGTATAGGTATCCGATTACCTGTGGTACACGTGTTTATGACGATGACATTTTTCAGGATTGACTCGCATGAAACGACTGGCTAAAAAAGCTTCATTGTTAACGTCGGTTCTCTCTTAAGTTTCTCCTTTCGAATAGCTCTCGCGCAATATTTAGAAGGTGGCATAACTTTTAGGATCGTATTGTGTATACATATGCGTGTAATATACGAGATGTCAATAACGAAGAATATTTAAACTAATTATTAAAGATCGCTGTCGTGTGGTTGTTCGCAAAACGCACCAGCTTACGACATCAACGCCAACTTGTTTTGGGTGTAAATGACCAAAAAACAACACAACACAGACTCGTTCCCTCCGTCACGTCTTTGTCTTGGCTTCCCTATTGCTTACAAAAGCTCTCTCCGAAGGAATGAGTGGGCTACTATTCTAAAGACAGGCTCACCTCCTTGCCCCGCCGGGGTGGTCTAGTGGCTAAGGTACTCGGCTGCTGACCCGCAGGGCGCGGGTTCAAATCCCGGCTGTGGCGGCTGCATTTCCGATGGAGGCGGAAATGTTGTAGGCCCGTGTGCTCAGATTTGGGTGCACGTTAAAGAACCCCAGGTGGTCTAAATTTCCGGAGCCCTCCACTACGGCGTCTCTCATAATCATATAGTGGTTTTGGGACGTTAAACCCCACATATCAATTAATCAATCAGGCTCACCTCCTTGCCATGGCCTTGTAATTGCCAGGGAGTTCGCGCATATGAAACTACCACAGGAGAGTAAGGTGGCACTCAGGATGTCTTCGTTCAAAAGTGATCACGCAGTGTTCGTGTGCACGCCGTTCTGTCTGCTCACGCAGCCAGTTATGCTTTCTCGAAACCAACTCCGGGCAGATAATTGCACACTCGCTCGCATGCCTTGGCTGTGCCCAGCAGTACATATATAGTGCAAAGTTCTGTACAGAAATGTACAGAGAAACGGCCCTCAGAATATCCGAGCTCTCAGTCCAGGAGGCCAGCGAATGGGCGGGGGGCCATGGTATTCCGGTACCGGCGTGGACGTGGCCAGCAACTGGGGCAGACCCCTCTTCAAGGGTTGTGATCGGGTTTTCTATGGCCAAATAATGTTTATTTCACCTTTATTCCACTTGAGGCTTAGTATATCAGAAATAATGAGTCTTCTGGTGCCAGTGACACATCTATTGTACTCTATTGATCTAAATTGTCCTTTAATGAACTGCGCACGTGATGACATTTCTGTCAGGACTCTTCCACGCCTCTGCGCTTGTGTGGAAGTTCACCTGTTTTTGAGGCTGCACCGGCATTAAACAGCTGGTAGTTTGGTGCTGGTCAGTCTCTATGCTACCCTCAGTTTCGTGATGCTATAGCAATGCACCAGTTACAAAAGGTCTCGTACTGCCCCTATCGTAGAGCGAAGCCCATGTTGTATCACCACACCTGGGAATGCCCACAACCACCAGGCTACCGGCCTGTTCCTTCACCCTTACATTCCTCCCAGAGAGACGGCGCTGACCAGCTCAGAGCCATAAAAGCAGTGCCGGCTGATCAAGCGGGCACGTAGTGTGGCCAAAAAGGCCCTTCAGGGCCTCCTTGACTCGCCAAGGAGACCCTGAAGTTTTGACTCCACCCAAGGAGGACTATCCTTTTGGCCTGTATGAATAATAAAAATTTCACTCTCTCTCCTCTCAGCGGGCACATTTACCGCATCCCTTCGAAAGTTAGGATCCTGTATATCCTTATATTGCCTTGTTTTTTTTTTTTTTTGCAGTGAACCCGGACTTGATTACGAAGTCATGGGACCCTTTTCCCGTGTTGGGCTTCTTCATGGAGTTCTGTCAAAGCCAGCTCAATCGCACGGGCCGATGCATGTCGCTGCCCGACTGTCGCTTCTCCAGGGGTACCAGAGAGGGCGACTGTGCGGACGGCTTCGGAGTCTGTTGCATTCGTGAGTATGGCCAAGTTTTTTACGAAAGATAGAGCTAAAGGTATTGCTTCATCGTCACCGTTATAATCATAATCAACACCCTCTTTCTGCTTTTTCCACCTCCTCCCCTTTTCTAACGCTGAGTAGCAGGCCAGACAACGAATTCGGGATGACCTGTGAGTTTTCTGCCAGAATAAGCGCTTCTCTCTCTCTTTAGATATGATGTCACAACCTTTATTCGATGAGCTATAAAACCTGAATGTTCGCCTTTATATAATTAGGCAATTGTGTGAAAAAAAAACACGTGAAGAACAACAAACAAACACCAGCTGTTATTTAGTGGGCACGTTAAAATACACAGCTGGACCACATTCTACGCCATGCCTCCTGTTTCTCTACAGCGACGTATACACTAGTGGGTCCTCTTTTGCACCTACTGCTGTTCATATACTAGTATAGTCAGAAATTTTTTTCTGCTAGGGCGTAGGAAGGGCTAAGGGGAGTAAGGGCATTTGTGTATGTGTTTGTATAGATATGCGCTTTCTTATGTGGCTCTTTAAGGGAAAACAAGAGAAAAGTGAGCCCCGTAACTGTCTGGATCAGGTGTGACACCTCAACAGTAGCTCACAAGGGAAGGGGGAAGAAAGGATTAAAAGGATAGCATTAAAAGGTTTATATATAGAGAGAGGACGGAGAGAGAGAAAGGCGCAGGGACAGCGAGCGTCAGAAGAGGAGATAGGGAAGATGAACACGGTCGCAGGAGTCCGAGGACGGGGCACCACTCGACGAGAGCTCTTGTCGGCGTCAGGAGGTGGCGTAGGGCGAGTCCAATCAGCCAGAGCTACGCTCTCGTTGTCGTCGCGGATCGGTGTCAGGAGAAAACGTAGGGCCAGCCCAGTCGGCCAGAGCTGCACTGTCGTCGGATATCACGAGGGCACAACCGGTCGGCACGAAATCCAGCGAGCGAGTGTCCCACATATGCTTATGCGAACTTGCAAGAACTTTTGAAAGGAAGGGGTTTAACCCTTTCAGCACTGTGTACGACAATGGTTCCTACACCTGCTGGATGCTATGCCTCAGGCATAGCTCTGTACACCTAGATTAAGTAAAAAACCAAAGGAAAGGCAAGAAAGTTGACCAGGTTGCATCCAGTTTTGCTGCCCTACACGGGAGAAGGGGAAATCCACCAATAAGTAATAACCTACATTTGTAAGCTGCTGCTTTTGTACGTATGCTTCATTCTTAGTAGGTCCACTCAAAACGCATTTCCCACTTACCTCTGCCGTTTTTGTAGGGTGTTTAGTAGGGGCCGCGACAGCCAGCATTGGCAGAACGAAAGCCTTTGAAATGATGTAGGGGTGGTGTGGCATCTTCACGCAAGGCGAAGGGCGTATGTGCTGTGTCATCGCGAAAGAGGCAGATTGAGTGCGCTACTATAGAGGACGCAATGCGATACCAAAAAGCCCAATCTGCGAATTTGATCTCTAAGTTACCGTGATATAATGCCGTTGCTGATCCTCTTTAGACTTCTTCCAGTACGTTTATGTACGCTTCATCGACGCCCTGAATCCACAGTGTCTGCGGAATGTTTCCGGTACTTACCTATTGAGCAAAAACCAAAAGGTTTACAAGGAGGGTTCGTCTTGAATTGGGATGAAAATTATGCGGGTAACATTGAGAGACAAGAAGAGAGCAGAGTTCGTCAACGAAAAAAACTAGGGTTAAGTATATCATAGTTGAAATACAGAAGAAGAATTGGCCATGGGCAGTGCATGTTGCACGAAGGCAAGACAACCGCTGGTCATTAGGGATCACAGACTAGATTCACAGAGGAGGAAAGCAGGTGAGAGGGAGACGGAAAGTTATGTAGGCAGATCAGATTACGAAGTTTGCGGTTATAAAGTGGCAGCAGCAAGCAATTGACCATTTTGACTTGCAGAACATGGGAGATGCCTTTCTCCTGCGATGGGCGTAGTCAGACTGATGATGACGACGATGACTGCAGTTGCTTGTACGACGCGTATTTCTCTCAGGATAGCTAAAATGACAATATTTTCGTGCAGCTCAGTTTGAGCGTGATGAAAAGATCTTATACAGCCAAGAAGGGGAAAAAAGAGACAGCGTGAGCGCTTCCCCTTCTTAACTGTGTAGCATCTTTCCTTGACGATCAAACTGAGCTGCACTAAAGCAGTATCATTTTATCATGCACCAACTCGGCCAATCAGCAGTACTTGTCAGTCTAGCTGACATTCACAGGAAAGTGCAGTTTAGCAGTTCCTGTTTTCTGTACGGCTTATGAAGGGAGTGCCATTAGAGACATATCAAGAATGAGTTCCGAGAGATTCAATGCACAGTGAACTATGACCGTAAATAAGGTGATGCCATATAAGACGAATGGTTCTCATATAGACACTGTAGTTTTCGCCATTGCTTGGAAATATTGAAAAAGATGGTGCTAGTGTTTCAAAGGGGTGCTCAGAGACAAGCGTACACGCACACGCACACACACACACACACACACACACACACACACACACACACACACACAAACACACACATACACAGAGAGAGAGAGAGAGAGAGAGAGAGAGATAAAGAGAGAAAAGCGGCGACACTATAATGTGTGTGAGGAACTATAGTATTAAGAGGAGTTGCTGGGAGAGTTGGTGTACGTCTAAACATAGAAGTCGAGCGCTAAAAAAAATTAAACGACGAGGCGTAGAAAAAGAGGGGACAGGATAGAACGCTCTATCCTGTCTACTTCTTTATTGCGTCTGGTCATTTTTTTTTTTACAGCGAAAACTGTTATGAGATCACAACTCGGCTCACGCGCATTTGTCCGCGCCGCCATCGCGGTGAGTGTGCGAAACCACATCGTGCGCAATTAGAAAAAAAAATCTAGCACCAAAGACCCAGTGGGGCTTGAAACCCGGGTCTACTCTAGTGCTTGTGACTTGCTCGCAACCGTAGCACCAAGAATACAGTGGGACTACAACCCGAATCCACTGAGTGCCTGTTCATTATTCTACCACTGAGCAACGCTGGTGCTTGTGAATTGTGACTTTATGGCAAACTAGCCTTAGGCAGGCTTGATGATGGGAAAACAATCGCCTTAATACGACGTATAAAGCGTTTTAAAAAAGTGAAAGAACAACCAGTCGTCACACAATGCGAACAGCGTGCATAACGAGTGGGTCGTCCAATGCTCCAACCCATTACGAAAGCTTGTTCTTGTTCACCCATTAACATTGGCGCATCCCCACTTCAGCTATAATTCCTGATTATTGTCAGTCACTGCATGAACTATTAATTGGCACGGTATTCCTTGCAAGTGTTCAGCGGATGCCACGCTTCTCAATTGAATGATTAAAAATAGCATCGCGAATGCCGCACTACTACCCAAAAGTTTATTATTAATGCATAGTGAATATCAAGCAAGCGTGCTTGCAGTAGTTACATATTGAGTGTTTTGAAAAGGCCCTGAAAGGGCGCTCTTCTAGCTTTCACTGTGACTGTGCTGCGCCTTCCGCGCAGGCCTGGCACTACGAAGAAGACTAGTCAGAAGACTAGTCAGAAGACTAGTTGCGTATGTGCATACGCATGCACATACGCAAGCGACGCATGCGTATGTGCATGCGTCGCTGAACACAATTTCAGCGACGCATGCACATACGCGTCCAATATTTTCCACCTCATTGTGAGTAGCCGTACTGGTGCGTGAAGTCACATAGTTGGTACTGTATCCTGACGACGAAGCCGCTCTGTCCTGCCTTCTCAATGGTAATTATTTTTTTTCTCCACGTTAGACGAAGTTCGGAACAACGTGGAGACGACGGTGTCCAACAACTCGTACTTCGTCCAGCCCGGTTTCCCGAAACCATTCACCGGTGGCAAAAACGTGTCCCTCACGGTGCTGCTGCCTTCTTCGACGTGTCAGCTGCGGCTAGAACTGGAGGAGTTTCGTCTCCTACCCCCGGTGGCCGGGCGCTGCCTCAACGACTCCATGCGAGTCTTCGTCAACGGCAGTGACTCGTACGTGCCAGAACTGTGCGGACACAACGCTGGTCAACACGGTATACCATCCTTACTTCTCTTTCAAGCTCTTACATTCTTGACTGCTCTTGGACGAACTAGCTTCTTATAGTGCATGGAAAGTGCTCCAGGCACTACTTTTTCCTCTAATGCCACCAACTCTTGTTCTTCTTTACTGTTTCACAGCCCTTTTCCCAGTCGCAAGCACAAGGTAGCAAGCCAGAACCTTATCCTGGTTAACCTCCTTGTCGTTCCTTTATCTTTCTCTTTCTCTCGATTCTTGAAAAGCTGCGCATGAAATAGCCCGGACAGAGATGAGCCACCTTTTTTTTTTTTGGTTTGCAATGATGCATGACGCTTCTCTGTGAGAACAAGTATGTCGACTTAGTAAACAATTGCTAAAAGCATCTCTCTCTCTTTATTTTATGGTATTCATTCCTGTTGTTTTTATAATAATGCTATTTACTTATAGTTTTAACGATCACATGAATTTGCATTCTTGTATTGATATTTTGCTTTTCAATAACTGTGTCAAATGACCGCCGTTGTACACAAACTCATTTTTGTATATTCTTAGGTGTATGTTATTATTACAACTCATGTCCATTTATTAATTTACGTCGTTTTACGCTTTGCATGTGCGTGCTGCCATAAAGGGCCTTCAGGCACTCTCAAGCTGTTTGCAACAGCTTTTCGCCTGAAGGGCCCCACACAAATTGAGAAATAAATTGTTGGAAATAAAGCTTTGATTGGTTAAATGATAGGCAACTGGTCAGTTTGGCAAAGCGATGAGGGCAGTGGCAAAGTGTGGCAGCTAAAAACAGACAGCTTTTTTTTTCATATTTTCGTTTGACTTCTCTTGTCGTATTTTATTCCAGAATATTTATCTGTCATTATATATGTGTTGCAGCTTTCCGCGTAAACATTTAGGGCGAAATACTGCGCTTGTCGTTCTCTAAGTCCTTGTTTTTTGTTTTTTTGTTGTTGGTGATGGTGAATCACAAACCCGCATAGTCGGCCACTTTGACAAGTTGCACTGCGAAAAATATGGAGGCCCCACCAACTGCGAAAATTGATCATCGGCATATTTTTCACAACGTCGCGTTAAAGCAATAAAACTTTCGATTGTTGGTCGGCGCTCGTCCTGTGTTGCTTCGCTGTCCCCGCGTTTATTTGGTAAGATTGTAACAATAAACGGAACATCGCTGAGAAGCGTGCATTGACCGTCTTCCACTCTCGAAGTACACTTCAACAGGGCTGTCGATTGTGAAGTTTGGCGTACGCAAAAGATTGCCTGAATGTGTTATTTATAGAGACTTCTGAGAAATTTGTAGATGACTGGTTGTGGTTTGATAAACATGTGTTCTTTACAGTGGTTCTGCATTTTCCGGAGAACGAAGAGCATAGCCTTCTGTCCGTCAGTGTGGTCACTCCAAAATCGGGCTTCGAGAGGCGGTGGTCAGTGCGGATCGTTCTGTACAGCTGCGGCAGTAAGAAGCTGGGTAAGCTACTATCAATCTAGACAAGCTCTTATAGAATGAGAAGCTTACTACTCGAAAAAAAAAATCGTCCCCGTATCTGCGTGCTTAACTGCGAAGGACGTCGAAAGAGGACAGTCTGGAATTGCTTCGTTATATAGAGCGCCTCAAGGTGAACGGGTTCATCGAGATAGATATATGGAGGCACTCTACGCTGCGTGCAATATGGCGCCCTCTGGCATCAATCTAAAGAAACGAAAGTATTTTAGATTGGAAAGCTACTGCACGGTAGGTGTCAGCATTATGTTGTTTTAGCTGGAGTAACTGTAGGGAGCATGTATGGTTACTCTCGTTGTAGCTGAGCGTGAGAAACACTCGTTATATTCCTTCATAGGGCAGCATTGTCAGAGCATCGTAATAAACACTGTAGTCTTTGAAATTAAGTTTCTGTGTATTTTCTAAAAATAACAACCACACTGTATAATACTCGAGTATTGATAGCGCACCCGAAATGTGCGCAACATTACCTTTCTTCATTGAAAATATATACAAGTATGAACTCCATCGCCAGATCAAGAATGGTGGACGTTGAACCAGACGTCCAACTATCTCTGAGTGGCAATGACAGACGGTCAAACAAGACGGAAAGACAGATTAAACTTTTAGCGTTGGAGGATCCCAGGAAACACAGTTGTCTTAAAAAATACTGGGGAGGATTGAAGCGTGTAAAGAATACTGTTTCAGCTACACTGTACCGATACCTCGACAGGGGCGACTCATGCAGTGTTTTCAGAGACATATATTGTTGATGAGGCAGTACATCTGCCCAGCCTGAAAACGGGGAGGTGGGGAAAGATGTTCCCGTTTCACGGACAGCCTCGGAAAACTGCGTAAGAGTGCACGTTACCCTGAGGTGATTCTTCTTGTTCTTCTGCTACCTTATGGGCCAGGTTTCAATTCCTACGGCATGCAGAAAGGGTCGTTTCTGCTCCGTTAACGTCGTCAGTTATTTGTTGGGCTAAATTTGCGCCTTCTTCATTTTTTAGTGAACCAGTGACGAGTAGTCGGACTTACAGTGTGGCGCATACTTTTCATATTGTTTCCTAAATATACTCTAGAGGGAACTCTGGCGCTAGTGTTTATGGGAGCTGCAACACACGGCACCTCATAGAGCATAAAAATGATGGGTAGCACACGGATTTGCCTAAACTTTGTACTTCTGGCTCCGTGTGTGTTCGTGCGGCATGGAGCTGTTCCTTACGAAACAAAAATAAGCAAATGTTCAGCAGTTGCGCTTCACCACCTTATTTTTTTAGGCTTTCTATTTCAAATCGTGCCGCAAAGCTCAAAAGGGTTCTTTCTTTTATTCCGGAACAAAACCGAAACAGCGAAACAAACAAAGCCACAAGTGTGATTCGCCTCCCGCAAGTACGAACACTGGCAAATCCATGTACTACCCATCATTCCCGAGGTTGCTGAACGATCGCAGCCTCCGAGTCCCCTCTAGTTAGTTTCAGGAAGCTCTATGCACATTTCTATCATCAACCGTAACTACATGACACGCCGTAAGCACAGGAGATGCCGACAAGTCGATCCACTAAGGTGCTTTGCAAATAAAGTTTTCCTTGTGCCCCTGCGTCGATCTGTCGTTAGTTATCCCTTTTGTAATCCTTACGCCACCTTGCGAGATTCCGCAGACCTCACATGCAATAAACCACTCGTGCAAAAAAAAAATCACTGAGACGCCGGAAAAATATACTCATCATGACTAGTGCAGAGAGAGAAACAGAGACAACACCCGTTCGCCAGACTTGCTGCTCTATTTCTGTTTTGTGCCACTCGTCAGCCCAGAACCCAACACCCAGTTCTCACTATTTGATTTCGCATCACATTCGGCCTCACCCACACGAATTCCTCTGCAATAGCATCATTTCCGAGTGATGCTGCAATTAGAAATTTTTCTGCTCTGAAAACGACATGTCATCATGCACCAACATGGTCGCTGGTGAGTGTCTGTGATGAAGAACACTGCAGAACACGTGATCTAAGGCCTTTTCATGGGTGCTGGTGCCGGTACAAAGCATCAACTTCTTTCCCCATCCTAATTCTTTATTCGTTTTTATTCATTCCCCACTGCAGGTTTGTCAATCGGACTCAGCATATCTAATATTTGTTTTTTTTTTCATGTCATCTCTCTTTTTCTGTCGCATGTATATCATTGACCGGCATCGCTAGCGCTGTCCGCTTCAAGAAAATTTAGTTTATGTAAATCAATTATTCAGACATGCAATAAATCAATCAATCAATCAATTGCGCTGCCTTCAACTATTATATTTTAACTTTGAAATGAGGAAATTTGATGGAACGCCGAATGGCAGCTTGGTGACCGCCCAGCCTCTTCTGCAGTCGTCATTGCTCAACAACTTTATTCTTCGGTATCGGTAACCATATCTCGTAGTCTACTTTAGCCATTCCTGTGTGCACAATTCACGGGGTGGTATCACATCAGCTGGTGAGGGAGGTTTGAACACTGTTTCTTGATCCATCTTTCTTGCGTCTATTATTTTCGGTATAAAAAGAATTCTTACAAGTCTGAATTACTTCTCTAAACCCATTAACTCCTTTATCTAATTAGCCTCACGTTAATATGAGAGAAATGAAGAGCTCATTTGCTATCACTATGATACAGCAACTCTAGAAGCCTTATAACACGCGACAAACGACGGGGACGTAACAGCTTTATTTCATCTAATTTTATTTCATTTTATTTCGTTAAGACCCCGTTTTGGTGCAGTAAATAAGAGGTGCTTAAAATAATAGTGAAAGTAAAAGCAGGTGTTATGGGGTGATACATGTTGGCAACGTGACCGAATATTCCGTATGACTTCTCGTAGCAGCATGGCGAGGCAGGTCATTCCAGTCTTTGGCACCTTCAGGGAAAAAAAAAAAAGATGAAGCTCTAAATCTTACAGTTCGTGTTCGTGGACGAGTTAACGAGTTACATGCAGATGATGGCTGGTGCGCAGTGATGCGCGTGACGATGATGGCGTGATGTAAGGGGGGTGGTTCGGCGAGCTGTGTAGCAACTTGTGAAGAAAAGAGATGGAGTGACAACGGGACGACGAGAGGAGAGGAACGACAAGTTTGATTCTGCCTTTAGGAGGAAAATGCTGACCCTATATGAATATAAAAAATGAGTGAATGTTGTGACAAAATTCTGAAGTGATTAAAAAGCACTAACGATATATGTCCGATGGGGGTTCCAGATGGCAGCAGCGTATTCCAATTTCGGGGGTATAATAGGCCTGCACTTACATTATTGGTGCCTCATACAGCAAAGTTTGAAAAATGAACATCACAATGTACATTAGGGTCACGTGATTGCGGTGCAGGATAAGAGGGTGCAGTCGTCTCGTGCAGTGTACCATTACTGTCGTGCTAATTGACCTTGCATAAGCGGTACACTAACGACGCTGAGGCGTTATATGAGTGCTATGAAATAACACGAATTCAGAAAAATACATATTCGAAGACTTTGCACTCGGAAATCACAAACACTTTATTTCATACTTTATATGTGTATGTAAGCGGAAATGAAATCGAAAAAGTGCAGCAAACACTTTCAATCGGAAATGATAGTGACGTGGGCTGTCCAACTTATCACAATAAATGCAGAACGGCAGTGTGCTGATGAAGGCAGTGCTGACAGGGCTTTCAAGCGAGACATTCGACCTCGACTATACGCTAATTACTTCGATGCTACCAGTGCCAAATATATTATTGTGATCGTCAGATAGTACTGGCAGCATGATGGGTAATGTTAGCTAAAATAGCTAAATGATGGCTAAATAACGGCTGATAGCTAAATGGCTAACTAGCTATCCTGTCTTATAGCACCAACATTGTTTTCATAGGGGAACGCAAAGTGCTAGAACACCGTGTGCTTGCATATAGGAGCACGTTAAACAACACCATGGAGGTGGTCGAAATTTCTGGAGCCATCCGCGTTACTACGGGCGCTACCGGCTAAAATTAACTACAGGGACCTCTGGTGCTGTGATTGTTCAGCGACCATGGGAATAATAGGTATAGTACACGAATTTTCCTAGTGTTCGTGCTTGTGGGCTTCACGCACACTTGTAGCTTTGTTTACTGCAATGGGTTTGTTTAGTTTGCATTAAAAGAACAAAGTGTACTGAACTTTGTGACCCGATTTGAATTGGTGAGCCTAAAAGGTTAAAGTGGTGAAGGGTAATTGCTAAACCTATGCTAACTGTCATCTCGTGAAAAAGCAGCTCCAAGCCACAGGGAGCCAACCGAAGCCGAAAGTAGAAGCATTAGACAAATCCGTGTGCCAGCCATCATTCCCACGCTTGCTAAAGCGCCACGCGTCAGAGCTGCCAAAGGCACTGGCGCCAGAGTTCCCTCTTGTGTATTTATAGGAAACTCTGCGACTAAGGCGTGCCTCATAATGGTATTGTGGCGTTGACACTGGATCCTGGCAATAAATATTAAAAATTGATTTAATGCGATCTAACATTCAACAATGAACTGCCCATCGTGTTTCCTTAACTGTGCGTTTCTCTCCGTCTTCGCAGCTCAGCCCGGTTGCTTGCAGCATCACGGCAGTTGCCGAGGCTCCTTTCGAAGTTTTGCGTACACCGAGGAGGCCCTGCACTTCGTGCGCGCCCTCAACTACGCCGTCTGCATCGCGCGCCCCAGCTGGCTGCAAGCCATATCTCTCAAGATACGCACCGTCTCTGGGTACTCGCCAGCCGCCGCGACCCGCCGTGGAGACGCCGGCAACGACGACGGTGGGGTCGGCGCGGAGCAGGAGTGTCGGAGCAACTTCATCCAGCTGCCGCCCGGATACGACAGCCGGAGAGGTCTGGCCGCGCCCGTCAGAATATGCGGCGGCAACAGAACGGTCATCCTACACAGTGAGTTCGCCTCTTTAATTATTGGGGCCTTCATTCACAAACTAACCATATCTCTTATTTTCGTTTTTGTTCTTGTGCCTTTAAGGCGCGTTTAGAGCTCAGAAACACCCACTAGGTTGGCGAAAGATATGTCAGGTTGGTTTGTAAATGTGGCCTTCATGTTTATTTAGGAAGTACATTAAGGGAACACAAACAACAAGGAGCAGAAGCAGTAAAGTTGAGGTTTATTTGGCAACATGGGTGTACTACAGCTGTTGTTGTACTGCAATGTTATGTTGAATATCTGCCGAACAACTACTGATTGTATCGATCTTTAGGAGCTTGCTCGTAGAGCTTGCGCCCGGTCTGGCGTCTACCGGCGTGCGCATGAGTGTTGGCACTGTGCACTTCTCGAGTCGCAGCGCATGGTCACTGCTCCGGTGATTCCAGCAATGCTCTCTAGATGGCGTGACGCCACCCAAGGCGTTGCCAAGGAAAGGATCTCTGATAATACTCGGGGTAGTTCTCTACTGTTTGAGGCCAGGACGGGAGTGTTGCGAACAAAGACATATCGGGCCAAATACGAAGGGGTAGACACAGTATGCAGTGCGTGTGGAGAGGAAGAAGAAACTGCCGAACACTTGATAATGTTCTGTGAAGGGCTTCACCCTATAGTTCAGGATGATGGCGCAGAGTTTTTCAAAGCACTGTGGTTTAGGGACAGGGAGGGCAAAATAGACTTTAAGCGGGTAGACTTAACTAGAAGGAGGGTATCTGATTGGTGGCTAAAGTCAAAGCACGAGTGAAAATTAAGCCCTTCACTGCAAAGTACGAATCCTCAACCTCACTATTTAAAGGGGAAAAAAGATAAATCTAATGGTTAGTTCACTAAGTATCATGGCTAGGTGGCGTTAGCCGCCGCCTGATCTAAAGGGTACAGCCACATCCATCCATCCATCCATCCATCCATCCATCCATCCATCCATCCATCCATCCATCCATCCATCCATCCATCCATCCATCCATCCATCCATCCATCCATCCATCCATCCATCCATCCATTGTTTTTTTTTTTTTCACTGGCTAGGTCACAATATCTGTGACCACCCGATTCTTAAGGGAACAGCCACCTATCATCATCGTCGTCGTCGTCGGTTTTGGATAAACCGCGCGCTTTTCATCTCGCGACTACGTCCACTTTGTTATCGTCGCTTCGTAGGAACGGCAGCACGTAACACGCTTCTACGATGAGTGTTACGCACCGGTGCCGATATCATCCCGAGCTCCCTCACCTGCCTGCTCTCGACCCCATTGAGGAATGCCTGATAGCTCCACGTCTGCCATTTATTAGAACATTTATTGGAGCCGACAGACGGAAACACGTAGGGGGATAAAAAAAAATATCGGGGTGAACTGAGGAAGTGCCTCCGACAGGCTGGCCGACGTTTCGGTAGGAGGACCTATCTTTGTCAAAGGCGACTTGACTAACACGCCAAGGATGACATGGCGTCATTGGCAAAGATAGGTCCTCCTATCGAAACGTCAGCCAGCCTGTCGGATGCACTTCTACTGTTGACCTTGATTATCCCACATTTATGAGCCTTAGGCATTTCACTCAGGTCAGCGGCCAGGGTGGCATAAAGAGGCATAAAGAGTTTACGTGCCGATCAACGTGGGCAGCACTGCACAGTGCCAGCCGCGTAACGTGCCCAAGAACGCTGCTTTCGACGTACACGTCACGCGCTGGCTCATCAACAAGCCTTCCTACAAAAACGGTCTCGCCTATAAACGCCCCGTGCACCTCCTAGCAAGCTCCTCCATCATTATTCACTTAGTCGATATGCCGTTCATTTTTTCAGGGGCGAAGCACCTTATGGTAGGGTCGCACGATGCCCGACCATTGTCTTCAAGGCTCGCCTCGTTGTTGTCTTTAGTCGAAGTGCAGGTGTGAAACACATGTGCGCAATAACGTGTGCAAAGCGTACATATTACGCATGTGGTTTAAAAAAAATATGAGGCAACAACATCGTTAAAACGCCGGCGTTCAACCACCCAATAATTAAAACATTGACAAAGCAAAAAATTAACATGAGTAAAAATAAAAAAATATCTCAAGCAGAACAAAAAGAGAAGACCACCGCACCATTAAGGTAGTTATGCAACAACGTCTACTATATATGAATAAACCGAAACATCTGTGAACAACGAAAGGGTTAACAAAAGGCTGTTAACCAGAAGAAAGAAAATAAAAGTCTACAACACCGCAACAACATAGATATTTACTCATGAGTTCACGCATAAGACAGAACAAAAAGAACAAAGTAAAAGAGTGTTAATTAGAACAAAATATAAGGCCACAAATCCCGATCCAAAGTACACTGCTTCGCCCCATCATCATCATTCACTTTGGGGTTATGCAGCAATTTTTTCTTCGTTTCCTCTTTTTGTGTTAGTTCACATTCTCGTTTGAAAAATTCTTAAACATGTACTGAGATGTGCATCTTACTTAACCTGCTTTTACTCTGGGATGTCCTCCTGTATTGCATCGACTAATATGATGCAGAATAAGGGCCTAAATAAAGGGCCCAGCGGATCTCCTGGTAATACAGCTGGAATATGTTCAAGACAGTCTGAATAGTTGAAATGAACACTTTCGTTGGTACTGTTCTCGTACAGATGATATACTTGACTATTCGTTATTCCACGGCCACTTTCACCACCATTCCTTTATACATTTACTGTCATAATGCCACGGAATTAACAACACTCCTGAAACTATGATATCAGCTTTGAAAATTTGTTATGTACGGATTGCCTGTTTCTATGTTTCTGTAGTCCCCATACTGCTCACTTTAAAAAAGTGTTCGACAATTTTCAGGTAAGCGAGCTTCTTCTAAGAAGCCGACTCTATTTCTTCAAGTCCCGTAAGATCATTCATAGAGTCCGAACAGGTGAATTGATTGGCTGGGGTAATGAAACTGCATAAAAGCAGCCATGAGCGTATCCAAGGCTGGACATTGAAGTCACAGAAAGACAGCTCTCATAGATGTACATAAAGTAGTTTAAATGACAATAAACAGATTTAACAGTAAACTTAGTTAAATAGAGCAGTCTATTTCAGCGACTGCATTTGATGAAACCCGATGTATGGTCGCACAGCATGGTGGTCAGGTCGTAAGAAGAGATAGGCAAGAAATAGGAAAAGCTACTCTTAAGGTAGCCGACTTCAACCAAGGGCAGTAAAAATAACCATAAGTAGTTACAAATGCAAAGACAAACTTGACAGCATTGTTAAAATGACTGAATTGAAGACCCTTTTGGTAGAAATGTTCTTCAAAACCTTTTGAAACAGTAGTTTCTGAGATTAAAGCATAAAATGTAGACTAGCAACCATTCCGTGGAGAACGGCCACGCATTTTGTGCTATTGCACAACTAACATTCCCTTTATGCATCTTGCGTGGCTTTTCTTAAAAGCATAAAAGTATCAGAGACAATAAAAACAGTACTGCATGAATGTTCCTAAAACCATAGTTGTTATTGAAGCATAATTTTCAACACCTCCCGCAATTGCCTTTCTGAAGATGCTGGAGCGCCACTACTTACTACTGTTATGTTCCTATACCTTCTAAAAAAAACGACAAAAGCAGTTCGTGAAATATCGGATTTCTAATGCTGACCAGTGCAGGCCACCACAATTACAGAGCGTTTTCTGTTGTCCAGTTCACCTGCAATGGCAGTTGAAAGTCGCGTTCACAATTAGGTCAGTCGGTCAGACGAACTTTTATTTCACCAGTAGGTGGTCTGCGAAATTTGACGCGCTGCAAGTTTTTCTCCGTTCACCGCCACTTGGGCAAAAAAAAAAAAACTCCTTGTTCGTTTGTGTTCTAAACTCTAAAATAAATTTTTAGGAGCGCGAAACACTTTTTTCGCCATGTAATAATACGACATACTCGAGCGTAAACGGTTGTGAAATCACAAGCTAACGCTGATCTGGTTCAAATTGAGGCAACAGGAGACTAGCAAAAAGGAGCCAAGACTTGTCCTACGGCCACCGGCCTAAGAAGTAGAAAAATTGACATAAGGTGGCCCAACGTGGTAACCTTTTCCGACAATGAAGTCCGGGTTGCGATGACCACCGACGAACGATATGACATGGCGAGGGAACAGCTTTCAAGACTCATTCATCACTTAGCTCACTACATTACTTTGAATATTTTTATTCTGCATGACATTTTAAGACACGGATTCCTCATTTCGAGATGCCACTTGTTATTGCCATTTCTTTGAACTATTCGCAACAAGAAGAACATGAACACTGCGTTAACACAGAACTAAACAATTCTACCTAAACGTCTTCCCCCTCTCTTGAGACTGAAGTATTTTGCAACACAGGAACCCCTTGGCAAAGGCATGCACCGTGTTTAATTAGACGTAGTATGTGGGGCATTTCGTTAAGACTTACAAAATGCTTTTTGCCCTAGCTGTTTGGAATGCTTGCCGTCAGAAGATCTCATATAATGTGAGTGTGCCCTGTCACTCGTTTTATGGAGAAGTGCGGCATTACTAATATCAGTATAATGAGACATTTACTCACGTTGTAATTGAGTGTATCTGTACGAAATACACTGTGAACTATTTTAACAACTTTACTTGCTTTATTGTGGACCTCCCTAACCTTGCGATCAAATTATGTCTTTCTCATATAGTTTCCCAAATACAAGAAATACAATAAAAATTATGCAAACTTTCCGTATTCACAGACGTTCAGTCGTTATGCGTGTCGCAAAGGGGTAACTTTTTTTTTTTTTGCTGAAACTTTTGTTTCGTGCACCCTTCCCGTTGTAAAGCTGACAACCATTTTCTTTTCAGTGTCCGTCCAAGGCCCCCTGGTTTTCTACATCGTCAGCAGTGACGGCGTCGACCAGCGCACACAGTTTCGTGTCGACTACAGTCTGTACCCTTGCTCAGAGAGCTCACGATGAACAATTTTCTCAAATACTTTGCTCATTATTACGGCGTCATGCATTGAACTAAGCTAGCCGACAAGAAGATAATTCGGCGCCCTAAACCCCAGGAGCATTGACATTGAAACATCCATACAACATATCCGGTAGTCAGTGGCAGTTAACAATATGCAGCTATAACGCGTGACTGTGCAACAGGTAGCTCACATCCAACTACTGCGCAATGAAAAAAGCACACTTCACGATCACACATTTTGTACACCTGGCGTGACTCACTGCAAAGTCGCGAATTCATCGAGATGAATATGCCCGAGTCAACTTTTCCGGTGGTGGCAGTAGTGCGTCTTAACTTCTTATACTTTAGCACTGAATGCAAATGTTGCGAGAGCCAATTTCGCAGACGCTGAAGCTTATGGCCACTTAGTAATACTTATTTTGGGCTAGTTCGTACAAGCTTGCCGAAGTACAAAAATTGTTTAAGCACCATAGAAGGGCAAAAAAATATGAAAAGACAGTTTTCTGTGTCATGTCACTTCCATGGTGTCTACGACTTCTTTTGTATACCGGTAACCTAGAATAGATCTCAGAAAAATGGCGGAGTATGTCAATACCTGCCGACTACTTGTGTTTGTTTTTTGGATAATTGTGAGCACCCCACCGAGCGAATACGGAAAGGCACATATAAGCTATGTATTTGTCATTACACGTGATTGTGGTTGATGTAGACAACGCCAGGTGCTTTCAGGTTGCATGGCTTCACTGCGCGAATGTGATCGGTTGTTATTTCATGCTGCGATTTTCAGAAATTGTTTCATCAAGAAGGACTTGAAAGAAATGAAAGCATTGTGTGAAGCCCTGGCAAAAAGTTCAATAAGGTGTTTCTAAGGATCATTTATTATAAACACAAACAGGAAAACACGCATGAAGAACACAAGAGGACGAGTGCTGTCCTGTCTATTCGATCAATTCTTCGTTATTTCTTTGCGCTTTTTACGATATGTTATCCATGCCAACTGACTTTCATCAATACTTCTAACCTGTTTTAAGTGTTTCTTTGAATCAAAACCTAAACCTTTTGGTAAACGATGCGTCAATATTGGACACAAAACGTATTTTATTCTATTTTTCTTTCTTTCACACTTTGTATTGAGTGTTCTCTCCTGGTGCACAGTAAGGTATGTTTAGCAGTGTTTATGTCAGGGCAAGCTGGTGCAACATTTGCGAAATAAATCGGCACGTGATACGCGACAAAAACACACAATGATAAGACTAGTGCTGAACTACAGACCTTGATTGGTAGTCCAGCATTATTCTTGTGGCTGTGTGCCTTTCGTCCGGTCTTTCATGCGGTTTTGTTTTGCCAATACGGTACTTCGTTGCCCTCACAGATGACATTTTTATGAAAACACAGACGATTTTTAGTTCGGACACTGTACGAATGTACAAGTATGCAGAATGCAGAACTGTGTTGCTGCAGGAGTTGCGTCTCTGTCTGTTTTTGTTACAGAAGTTGAGTTCCTTTTTTACGTGACTGCCCTCACAGCGTAAATGACATGTATTTTAGACAACGTAACTCCTATTTTTATCGAAATGCGGCTTTCAGTTGCTTTTCTTGCACGAAGCTCATAAGTTCTGCAGAAATAAATATTTTGCGATTAAGTTATTCACGCTTCTTGTGTAATCCAGCAATGTTGTCGGATAACCTAAACAATGGTAAACTATCGGTTCTCTAAGGCTTAAGTTCCAATTACACTTCCTTATTTTACAAAATCTTTAGTTTTTAGGATATTATTGACTTCGTATAATTAGACTATTGTTAGAGTATTAGACTTCATATTGATGCGAACCTAGAGATTCTACGACAGGCAAAAAGCAGACACGAAGCAAAAAGTGCGGGGACGAAGTGACTAAACATACTGACAAGCACGTTTCTTCGCTTCATCATCATACTCTTTTCGCCGTGTCTCTTTATTCTTCAAGTAAGAACCAACTATCTCAGCAACAAGCCTCGTCCTAGTTTGTTGGACGGCTTACGTGCACACTCATGTTACTGCCGAAGAATTTCGTTTTTGTGGCCTGGTAGTTGTGACTGTAGCCGTAATGAACTATGTTGGGTAATATTGGAGCTTGTATTATAATTAGTTTTACATCCTTTTACTCAATACACTTGGATGTTCTTTTCAAAATGATGACAGTGAAGAAGACAGAATCTGTATTGGTGGCAGCTGCATTTCCGATGGAGGCGGAAATGTAGGCCCGTGTGCTCAGATTTTGGTGCATGTTAAAGAACCCCAGGTGGTCGAAATTTCCGGAGCCCTCCACTACGGCGTCTCTCATAATCATATGGTGATTTTGGGACGTTAAGCCACACAAGTCAATCAGAATCTGTCTTGGGTCAGTATGTAAAATAATTTCTTAATAATGTGTGCGGCTAACGTTAGAGGAACCCTGGAACACTTTTTTCAATTGTAGCCATGGAATGAATTCACTAAAAGAGCTTGATGGCTCACAAAATCACTACGTCAGAATTTTCGGAGTTCGTCCAGTACGAGCGGAGTAAGAAAGATTCGTCACACGCTACAATTTCATTCTCTCTTCTTTCGTGCAAACGAAAGTGCTCAATGTTAAACAGGGAGTGATGGCGCAGGGAACTGCCTCGTGCCTCGTGACGTTGACTTCTTTTTTTCTTCATATATGCTGCTTTTCAGTGGGATAGAGGGCGCACGCGGACAAGTCGCCGCCTCCCGCGGAGGCTTCAATAACGTCCAAGTGCGTCTTGCTCAAATCAGCCAATGGCGTATACAATGGCTGTAACGAGTGGTTTTTGAGCTTGTAGCGTCACTTCTCGAGAAGAGAGAAAGCAATTTTCAGCTAACTTTGAGAGTATATTGTGGATTCCAGGCCGAGTGTACAACTACATCATTTGGCTCACGTCTACTCGCAATCCTCGACTACCGATCAGCTGCGTTTCCTGGCCGTGATCAAAGTGTTCCGGGGTCCCTTTTACGCTTTGTGTTGCAGTAGGACACATCGAAAAGTAAGCACATATTCAGGGATATTAGGTGCGCTAGACATTTTCGAAAACAAAAGAAGGGACAGCCAAATAAGGAAATAAAAATGGTTGGCACTTGTGGTGAAGTATACTTTACAGGAACAGAGCACAGTGCTATGAATGCTCAGACAATGCGCAACTGCAGGTGGTGGCCTGCTAAAGGGCGGTCCACACGTCATTCTTCTTCACAGCTTGAGAAATGATACTCCGTCCCACTTGCTTGGCCATTTCATTCCCAGTACCCGTTGGAGCAATCACGACATGGTGCCTTCATGGGGCAGTGGGACAGTGTTCTCTCCACTTTTTCAAAACACTCATGAAGCAGTGGGACAATTATGTCCCACTCTGTTCCATAAACTACCGGCTCAAATTTGATTAAATTTGCTTCGTACTATTTTTTGTAGTTTACATCAATATGCCATAGCCGTTTTTCACACTACTGTGTCAAAAATATACCTCAACCTACAAAGCATTTAAAGGGAACAGGTAAAAATAAAGATGTTGACTTTCAAATGTGAAGAGATGTCCTAAATAAGTGATTCGTCAATGCGAGGAGGTTTTTTACGTGTCATGCATTCAGTTTTAAACTTTGATAAAATTCTGGGTAAAGTACCGGCCTAAAGCAATAAAGCGTACGCAAAATAGTACGTTTCTAACTATACCAACCAAATCTTTCAACACCCACCTAATTTTGTAGGGATTGACGTGCGATCTTCCACGCACGCAGAGCCCAAGAAGGACTACAAAAATTTTGGCGCACTTCTGAAGCTTACTCAAAACTAAAGGGTTCGTTGGCAATGCTTTGAAAGTGGTTTTTGAGAACTGATAACCTATTGGCGCCAGGTGTGGTGCAAAGACAATTGAATCTAAACGTAAAGTTTTGAAGAAAAATGTTACCATTCACAATGAATGGCGTAACAAAGTGTATTCTGCAATCGCTATCACCAAATAAGGTTATGCGATACCATACAACTGTTTGCAGAACTGAGGTATTTCCACAAAACTCTCGTCTGGGTCACACCATCTTTCTAAACAGCTATGTCATTACAACAAAGCAGCTAGTTTCGAGAGCCTAAGAGGGGTTATATGTGCGTGATTGCATCACAATGAGAAAGTGCCACGTAGTGGTTTTGACGATGATATCCGGATTTCATTTATACAAAACAATAACATAGTTCATGGCGTTGACAACTAAAAGATAGCCTTGCTGAGTGACATTCCTTTCTGAAATGCCTGACAGGCCGTTTCTTGATTCCAGGTTAAAACGAATGGTTGTGGTACTAAGTGTCAAGACAATCATGTCACACACATTGTCCATTTTTATACAGTGAAGAGCAGCGCCCAGCTTGCCTCATTCTCGAAAAGTCTTCGGAATATGTGTCCCATACGGGTATCATTCAATTCTCACATCATTCAATCCGCGCAATTTCTATTTGACCGCTCTGCCTCGGTGGAACAGTGGCTACGGCGTTCGGCTGCTGACCCGACCCGAAGGACACTGGTTCGACCTTGATCACCACGGTCGCATTTCAGTGGAGGCGAAAGAATGGGGACCCGTGTACTCTGTGACATCAGTGTGCGTTAAAGAACATCGGATGGCAAAAACTTTCGGGGCCCTCAATTACGGCCTCTTTCTCATAACGTGGTTTTTGTATGTCAAGTCCCATAACTTCTTCTTCTTCTTCTTTGTTTTTTTCATTTTCTTCTTTTCTTCTTCATTTTCTTTTTCAATTATTATTATATTATTATTATTATTATTATTATTATTATTATTATTATTATTATTATTATTATTATTATTATTATTATTATTCTCATGGCTCTCAGCACGGGATTGGTTGAGTGTTAAGGTGATTTTCTTTAAGTGTTTTCTATGCCTACTTTTGTGTCGTTCATGTATCTCACATAATTCTGACTGTGAAATGGCGCTAGGAGGCGGCAGTTGGATTAGCATAGTTTTTAATTTCTGACTCAGGTTTCTGAACTCCCTTTGTTTGTTTCACTAAATTTTTGTTGGTATCAATGAATAGCAAGCTTAAGTGCGCGTAAAGTTCGAAACTCTTCAGCCCCCTTCCCTCCGTTTAAGTTCATCTAATTTACGAACAATCAATGCATTGTCCCGAATTAGAAGTTTCCGGCATTCAGCCATCGTAATTTCAATTAAAGGCGTGCTGTAGTCAAGTCTATCCTTCTGTATTTCTACTTCTTGACGGCAGTGCAACGCAACGCCTTAATATCGAATTTACGTAAATAGTATGCGCACGTGCGACTATTCTTCGATGAACCCCCTTCCCCGTTCACCGCCATCCTCTTTATTGTGCTTATGTCGTCAAAACAAGTCGGATGCGAAATAACCGTTGGTGTACACTCATTGGACTGCAGATTATTGTCTGACCCGAATTAGGCTCAGGTCCTCTGACCAGGACACATGAGTGAGAACTCCTACGGGGCCCACGACAGCAAAGCCGGCTTGAAAAAAAAAGTAGATAAAAACAAAAATCTCTCGACCTCCGACATATATACGCTTCTCAACCGTACCTCTACAAAAATCTACTGGCGCGACCCTTTCATACACCCCTCGACTACGCCGTTGCCTAATCCCTAAAGTGTTTCTCCTCTCTCTGGTGTATACCAGTTACAAATAAACAACAAAAAAGTCAGACACGCTTTTGGAGCTCGTGTTTTCATGAAGGCGGGTCACTCGGCGTATTCTGTGCGAGATATGTTGCCGACTGCCAGTGTCTGGCGCGCACTTGTCGAAGCGCAAGAATATGTAGAAGCGTTCCTTTCAGATCCTGTCAGTTTTATTTTTGGGTCTCGCTCCTATTACAAATGCGACCCCGGCCGGCGCTTTGACGCCAATATGCCCAGCATAGAACCGAGATCGAGGCGTTGAGCCTTTACTCTGGGCTGGCCTGTGAATTCGCTGTATTAGATTTTCTTTTCGACTTGTGTTTCTTTGACCAATGAACAAGACGCAGTAGAGGAGCTCGAAAGCCTTAAGACTTGTAGCAAAAGCCCATATCGCCTCTAAATGCACCCTGGATCCACTTTGCGCCTGACTTTAATTGTTTGTGTGGCCGGCTGCTTGTGGTGGGTTGGTCGAATGCCCACACCTACTTAATTATGCGCCATGTTACAGCTGTAGATATGTTTCGAGCTTAAGGCAGAATTCACGTTAGAACATAGATAACAGGGAGAGGACGTCCTTCGGTTTCAGCATCGAGCGCCGTAAACTGAGAATTGTTTTATTTCTGAATCTGTCTTTCTTGAACGCCATTCCGAGTGGTGAACCTGTGCATCTCATACAGGGCTCTTCGCCACATCTTCGTTCATTGCATCTCGGATTCGTGCTGTTGGAATTTGTGCGATGTTCCTTCGTGAACAACGCAGTTACCTTTTGTTTCTTGATAGGCACATGCAAGCGTGTCTGATTGGAAGTTAATGACGGTTATTGGGGATTTTATGCCCCAGACTCGCGATACCAAATAACGTGCATGGCTGCGAAGATTTCGACTGCCTTGGGTTCTTTAAAGTAAACGTAAATTTAAGTACATTGTACATAGGCACTTTCGCCTTCATCGAAAATGCGGCCACCGTGAACGAGTTTCTCAAGAAGAGGTGAATGAACAATACACGTTTAAACAAGATATAATCAAGTTTCACTTTTATCCAATGAAACGGTTAACAATTTCAATTTAACCGAAACTCGATCTGACTGAAAATTCAGTACTATGTGAAAGAGCATAGGGCACAGGGGATATGGAGTCAAAGGAAGAACTACGATAAACTTAAACACATGAATATACATGAAGTGCGTAACAGTTACACTGCTATCTACTTTTACCACCAATAAATCTGGCATTTTCATTTGTGCCGTGCTACCACAGTACTATAAGTAACAAACCTGTCTAAATAGTCTTAATTGATTGATTGATTGATTTGTAGGGTTTAACGTCCCAAAACCACCATATGATTATGAGAGAAACCGTAGCGGAGGGCTCCGGAGATATCGACCACCTGGGGTTCTTTAACGTGCACCCAAATCTGAGCACACGGGCCTACAACATTTCCGCCTCTCTCGGAGATGGAGCCGCCGCAGCCGGGATTCGCTCCCGCGACCTGCGGGTCAGCAGCCAAGTGCCTTAGCAACTAGACCACCGCAGCGGGGCCTAAACAGTCTGTGTGCTTATACATTTCCTGCGGCACAAATTGCTCCTCAGATAAAAGGCCACGCAACTTTTCAACGCGTCCTGAGGCTCCAGGGGGTGGTACAGGATGTGGATCTGCAGCCTTTACTGCGCGTGCTCATCGTTCTTATTATTCTTATTCGGTATGAACACTGCAGCGATTTTCATAACCATCAGTTTCAAAATGGTGTGGCGTCAACTGATTAAGTTCGCCCAACTGAATTATTCACTCTTCTGAAAGTCAATTAGCTGGAAGATCTTTGCATAGAGTGCGTAGGAAAACCACCGGGAATACTTCAAAGGCTAGTTCTTGAACGTTTTTCAGGAACTTATTAGTCCCCTGATCCTGCAGAACAACTCACAATTGCATGAAAAGAAGACAAAATGTAAGGAGGGACGTTTTATGCAAGATTATATAGGCAGTCCGTCTGGTCTCTGTAGCCCAGACAAAAAAAAATCACTCGAGGAATCAGCGCAGGACTCAACCGAAGTGATCGGGCAGAGTGCGGTCCCAAGTTTTTCATATCGACACATACATGTCAGCGGCAGCCCGTCCATTTCAGCCTCGTCGCATAACGCCACCGAAAGGATCGGTGCGCATGCTGTCGCCCACATCCGAGATTAACAAGCCGCCCGTGCCGTTTTGACCAATCGGAGCTCCGATTGGGTGCTTTGCGGCATTGCTTTGACGAGCCAATCAGGATTCGTCGTTGGCGTCGGGCTACGCATTAAAGGGGGCATGGCTTCTTCGTAAAGCCCAGAAGCGGCAAGAAGTTGCGGTGTGTCGTTTTCAACTCCGAACCAACGGAAGTGTTCGCTTATAACAACCAACCTCTCATGGCTTCCAAGTGACGTCCCAGTCGTCGCATTTCGACGGTACCGGGAGTGGCCGGCTTCCAGAGTGTCCGGCCGACAATCTCAGTCGCCGTACAGTCCCCTATAGCTTCCGTGTAGGTGAGTTTTCTCCATAGCACTCACTTTTTATACTACTGCAGTTAATCTTATTCATTGTTACCTTATTGTTAATAGAAAGTATTTTATACAAGAATGATTAATTGAGATGATGTTAAGTCTACGCAGCAAAGGGCACAATCGCCTCACACACAAATCTATATATAGGAACAACTATCAACATGCAGAAAATGCTGGGAACCATTGCCAGTCATATATATGCTAATTACGTGTCTCTGTATTGAAACACAAAGACGGAGATATTTAACCAACTTATACAAGCAACGTTGTACTCCTATTGTTGAGTAGTCTTTTAACATTGCAATAAGGTCCGCCTATCGAGTTTACACTGTCGGCCCTTCTTCTGTACGAAAGTGACTACTTTCTGATATGTATTTACTATTGAATAAGCCTTAAACATGAAACTTCAAAATACCCTTAAACAACGGTGTAATCCTACGAGATGGCCAGGTTATTCCGTTCGCGAATGTTACAACTATTTATGTAAACTGGCTGTTTAAGTCAACTCGTAAGCTGTGTAGCCTAGTAGCTATTCAGTGCTCAACAACGTGTGGTTGGCGCATTGTGATGGGCGCATATGGCCTCCATTGCTTTGGCTCCATAAAGTCTCAACTAACAAAACGTTTTCTTACAGTATCATATACTGTTACTTCTTCAGCGGGTAAGCTATAAAACGAAATCGCAGCCTTAACGCTCCTCACAGATGGTTAACGAGCGAAGCTGAAATGTGGGGCTGCGATGCTCATCTGGAGCTGGAGCCTATCGAAGCACCTTCTATTGTAGTGTTTTGATATCTCTCTGACGAAACTTCAAACATACATGCCTAAAGGGAGATTAAAGAAAAAGAAGAACTTCGTTTAGATTGACAAACTGCACTCTCAGAGCTTTAATGCCTTATGTTTTTGTAGTATTAATTGACACGTGCGGTTCTTTTGGTTTACGAAGAAAGCCGCTATCACTTTCTGTTAAGCGCAACGCAGGCCGCGTTTATCTTGTATGCCACTCTGGAACGCGTTATGACGCGTGTATAAAAGACTGACACGTGCGGTTCTTTTGGTTTACGAAGGAAGCCGCTATCACTTTCTGTTAAGCGCAACGCAGGCCGCGTTTATCTTGCATGCCACTCTGGAACGCGTTATGACGCGTGTATAAAAGACTGACACGTGCGGTTCTTTTGGTTTACGAAGGAAGCCGCTATCACTTTCTGTTAAGCGCAACGCAGGCCGCGTTTATCTTGTATGCCACTCTGGAACGCGTTATGACGCGTGTATAAAAGACTGACACGTGCGGTTCTTTTGGTTTACGAAGGAAGCCGCTATCACTTTCTGTTAAGCGCAACGCAGGCCGCGTTTATCTTGTATGCCACTCTGGAACGCGTTATGACGCGTGTATAAAAGACTGACACGTGCGGTTCTTTTGGTTTACGAAGGAAGCCGCTATCACTTTCTGTTAAGCGCAACGCAGGCCGCGTTTATCTTGTATGCCACTCTGGAACGCGTTACGACGCGTGTATAAAAGACTGACACGTGCGGTTCTTTTGGTTAACGAAGGAAGCCGCTATCACTTTCTGTTAAGCGCAACGCAGGCCGCGTTTATCTTGTATGCCACTCTGGAACGCGTTATGACGCGTGTATAAAAGACTGACACGTGCGGTTCTTTTGGTTTACGAAGGAAGCCGCTATCACTTTCTGTTAAGCGCAACGCAGGCCGCGTTTATCTTGTATGCCACTCTGGAACGCGTTACGACGCGTGTATAAAAGCCGGCGCAGTGCGCCACCGGGGAGTCTTTTTTTTTTTTCCTTTCAAAGTCGTGAGTGACCACCACGCCTTGTGTTGGCTAGCTAACTTGAAGGATCCATCAGGGCGCCTCGCACGGTGGAGTCTCAGACTACAAGAATTTGACATCACCGTCGTCTACAAGAGCGGACGAAAGCACTCCGACGCCGACTGCTTGTCTCGCGCCCCTGTCGATCCGCCGCCCCAGGATGACCAGGACGACGACTCTTTCCTGGGACCCATAAGTACCGACGACTTCGCGGAACGCCAACGAGCTGACCCAGAGCTCAAGATCCTCATGGACTACCTGCAAGGCAAGACCGCCGACGTGCCGAAAGTATTCCGCCGAGGACTGGCTTCGTTTTTCCTGCGAAACAACGTCCTCCTGAAGAAGAACTTCTCGCCGCTCCGCGCCGACCACCTCCTCGTGGTGCCTTCAGCGTTACGTCCAGAGGTTCTGGAAGCATTACACGACGACCCGACAGCCGGACATCTTGGTGTTTCCCGCACACTGTCACGAATACAAGAGAAGTACTATTGGCCTCGCCTCACTGCCGACGTCGCCCACTACGTAAAAACATGCAGAGACTGTCAGCGACGCAAGACGCCGACAACTAGGCCAGCCGGACTTCTGCAACCCGTCGAACCACCTCAACGGCCATTCCAACAAATCGGCATGGACTTACTGGGGCCGTTCCCGACGTCAACTTCTGGCAACAAATAGATTGTCGTAGCGACTGACTACCTCACCCGCTATGCCGAAACAAGGGCCTTGCCCAAGGGCACTGCCGCCGAGGTCGCCAAGTTCTTCATTGAGAACATCGTCCTCCGCCACGGAGCCCCCGAGGTCCTCATCACCGACAGAGGTACGGCCTTTACGGCTGACCTAACGCAAGCGATCTTGAGGTACAGTCAGACAAGCCACCGCCGAACCACCGCGTACCACCCACAGACGAATGGCCTCACCGAGCGTCTAAATAAGACCATCGTCGACATGCTGGCCATGTACGTGGACGTCGAGCACAAGACGTGGGACGCCATACTCCCGTATGTAACCTTCGCGTACAACACGGCCGTGCAGGAAACGACGCAGTTTGCTCCATACAAGCTCGTCTACGGACGGAGCCCAACAACGACGCTTGACGCCATGCTACCGGTCGGCACCGACGAAGAAGACCTCGACGTCGCCAGCTACCTGGATCGCGCTGAAGAAGCTCGACAGCTAGCCCGCCTGCGTATCAAGAGCCAACAGACGGTCGACAGGCGCCACTACAACCTTCGACGACACCACACCGAATACCAACCCGGCGACCTTGTCTGGGTCTGGACGCCGATACGACGACGGGGATTGTCTGAGAAGCTCCTGCGACGCTACTTTGGACCCTACAAGGTAGTCCGACGTCGTGGTGAACTGGACTATGAGGTCGTGCCCGATGGCTTAACGTCATCCCAACGACGCCGTGCACGACCCGAAGTCGTACACGTGGTGCGACTTAAACCTTATTACGCGCGCTGATTAGCTGTGACGCATTGTTAATGTAATTTATTGCATGTACTCTCTCTTATGTTCTGTCTTTAGCATCGGGACGATGCTTTTTCAGAGGGGGGTAGTGACACGTGCGGTTCTTTTGGTTTACGAAGAAAGCCGCTATCACTTTCTGTTAAGCGCAACGCAGGCCGCGTTTATCTTGTATGCCACTCTGGAACGCGTTACGACGCGTGTATAAAAGCCGGCGCAGTGCGCCACTGGGCGGTCTTCTTTTTTCCGTCGGCCGACGACTGTTCACGCCGCTGTTGCTGTGAGTTGTGTTTGGCCCTGTTTTGCTGGGCACAAGTTCGCCCAATAAACAGTTCGCCTGACACCGCCCTGACTCCTGCGTGCTTCCTCTCAAGTACTGCGTGTATCACAACCTCGTGACATAATGTTACAATGTTTCTACGTTTTTAATACCCTAGTAACTAACTGTCAGCAGTTCGTTATTAGAGGAGAAAATTGAAGTTGAACTTTAATTTGGTAGTTTGGCACCAAAAACTCTGCACGTGACTTGAGAAATTTCAAAATGTATTTTTTGTACCTGCGTGGCAGTGGCTTTATGACATTTTTTGAAAGTTCATGATCGAGGTCTCTAGCACCCCCTGACGGCAATGCGCTCCACCACTTTATTAATTAAAAGCTACGTAGAATAAAAATTTGAAGCTCACTAGATGCCTTCGGAATCTACTACGTGATGGTCTTTGGTGCAAAATGCCAAGATGGCGTCTGCACGCGCATTTTATTTTCGTGCTCTTTTTCTCTTACCAACCGTCGTCTCCCGAGAAAAGTGGTGTTTTCTGCACTGTGGGATCGCACTTTACTAGTACGCTGAAATCGCTTTCCTCTTTAGCGTCTCTTTAATGGCCAGAGTCGTGACCGTACAGAATTATTGCGATAATGATAGCCGAGTACTCTTATCGTAGCATTTCAAGAAGAGATTACTTCGCCATGTACCCCTCCAAAGGTATGAACCAATGGCTGGCTGCTGGGCGCAATACGACATCGCTTCATCTTCATTGGTGTCCACTGCGAATTTTCTTTTCTTAAAGGCTCTAATACCTGGGGGGAGGGGGGGAGGCCTTTGCGGAGATATGTGGCGCCCCCCCCCCTAATGGAGTTACGTCGACATATGCGATTAAGAAGTTTGTGGACATAACATGGCAGGAGCAAGCGAAGGACCAGGTTGATTTGTGGAACATGGGAGAGAACCTTTGTGCTGCAGTGGGCGAAGTTGGGCAGACAAAGACGATGATGATAATGATGATATGAAGAACCTTGCACATGCCATTGCAAGGAATCGTGGACCTACAGAGCCACCCCTTGGAGAGGGCGGAGACGTTTTTCTAACGCCCCTCCCTGTCAAAAAAAAAAAGAAAGCTAGCGAAGGAGGAATTTCTCCTTTCAACTACCTAAAAAGAGTCAGAATAAGTTGATAACCCAAAGCAAGCTGATGTGGTCCAGGCACGATGCGCAGAAAAGTACCTTTCATAATTTCCATATTAAAGTTTCACAGCGTTCGGTCTATGTGTTGTGAGCTCCAACATTTTCGCCTTACCTGACAAAGGGCGGCTTTCTGAAGCTACTTCCCGAAAGTAAACGCCAATTCTTTCTTTGTGCGTCTGTTGCACTTCGACAAACTGATGGGATTGTACGGGCTCACATCTTTACCCTCCCCATCGTCATCCATTACTCTTTTTCCCCTCTATTCTCCTCCCTCATTGAACAGTAGCAGGCTAGAACACACTATCATTCAGGTCAACATCTCTGCTTTTCTCTAAATGGACCTTTCTCTCTCTTTCTCTCTCATTCTCTCGGTTTTTTTGTTTCTCTTCAACGACCGGGTACAAGGTGCGAGGGGAGAGGGCTCTGGTCATGCTTGCGCAGTGGACCGCACTGTGGTTGGGCTTTCTCGCCGCCGGTCCACGAGCGGCGACAGCCAATGGGGAAGCCCCTGATTGGAACGAGATCTTCAGCAACCGGTAAGCGTTGAATTTATTTTATTTCGTTTTTGCTTGCAGCAGTAGACTCTCGTAAAGGCCAAGGTTAATTCTTGTGGATCCGTCTTCCGCACTGTCTAGCCCGGCTGCGAAAGTGAAATCTGGAGAGAGGGCGTAACCTCCCTCCCAAAGAGACACGCACACTTAGCCATAGATTGAATAACATTAAAGCAGCATTGAGCCAATTTCTTCCCAGAAAAAATTCAAGATACGTGGTAACAACTCCGAATTACTGATTGTTGGCGCGGTCGGTATTTGTTTAACAATACTTTGTTGAATAGCTCGGAACAACAATGCTAGATTTATGATCTCACAAGGCATTGGTGGATGATTTTGAACTTGTTGCCTCCAGCCATCTATAAGTTTTGTTCTTGGGTTGTTTTTACTCGCGAACACCTTCCTAGCGGTAAGCCGCGGTGTTTGGTATTTTCTAAGTGTAATTATCCGACTCGAACTCAATAATACGTCGCTTAAAAGTCGTCATACGAAATAGAGAAATAAATGAAGTAAATAAAGCGATGTTAACTAGAGGAAATGAAAGCTTGCTTTAGTCGGTCACTCCAGCAAACAATTTCCACTTTGCCGCACAAGATTGTCATGCACTGTCATCTAGCGTGGAAAATAGGAAGTTTGAAGCAGCAATCCCGAGAGGCTCCGCTAGGTGGCTAGATCGTCCAATACCGGCACGTAAACCCGATCCCGTGTTTTTGTAATAATTTTCTTTATAAAATAAAATACTTTTTAATTTGGGCAAGTGTGAACTATTTTATCTGCACATTTTACCCACAATGATTACCTGAACATGAGAAACAGAAATTTTCTCTCCAGAAGCGTGACAGCGCACTCCCACTGCGCATGCTTGTGCTGACACCGCACTCACGCTGACATCACACATGTAATACACCGGCTCCAGATTTTGCTAATATAGTACATCCATTAACAGGGAGCAGAAAGTATGTTCTTCGTAATAATACCTTTGAGAGCCGGATATCCATCAACACCTAACAAAAGACGGAATAAACAAAAGACCTGTTCAGCAGCTGAACAGAAAATGAACTGTGAAGTATTTATGACTGTGTGTTAAACGTATGACGGGCCAACAAGAAATAGAAGTCTTTTCTTTTATTTACTAGACAAAAAATTATTCCGACACCGGGAATCGAACCCGGGCCTCCTGGGTGAGAGCCAGGTATCCTAACCACTAGACCATGCCGGAGAATGGCTTTCGCGCTTCAATTAAAGCAACACATTCTTGCACAACCTCCTCGCTTTACAGTTATGCTTCATCTTAGAACGACGCTTCGGTGTGCTTCATAATTTTCATGCCATGGAGACGCAGCGTGACACGTCAAGTGTCCCAGACTTCTTTCGGCAAAACCAACCGATTTCACGTTGGCGGGAAGTTCAATGGTCCCCACCGAGCTTGTTACTTAAAATCGTGTTTTCTAACAAACGTGATCCAGTTTGTAATAAAACTTTACATTTTAAATGCTCATATGTTTTACCCACCGTAGTGCGTGGAGTTTTAGGCCCCTATACAGCCGTATAGTATTATAGTCACATAATCAATACGTCACCGCGAACCACGCATCATTGCTATTTAATGTAATTTTGCATGGCGCTATTCAACCAAATATGGCCCTTGCGCCAATAAAAACACATATCATCGTTAGATAGATAGATAGATAGATAGATAGATAGATAGATAGATAGATAGATAGATAGATAGATAGATAGATAGATAGATAGATAGATAGATAGATAGATAGATAGATAGATAGATAGATAGATAGATAGATAGATAGATAGATAGATAGATAGATAGAAATGCTTCGCATTTATTAACAAAAATACTAACGAAATTCAAAGTAGCCAGAATGCAGCCATGGGTACAACTTGAACTTTTTGTCGCAATACAAGGTCGTCAAGCAGCCGATTTGGCGCAGAGTAGCCATCAACGGCTGCCTAGCAGGGTGCGTCCAGCGCATGACTCTAAATGAATGTGTACAGCCTGCTGTGCGTTGGAGGCCCCGTAATTTTACAGTGTACAGCTAGATGTGAAATATAGCCAAAGAAACATTGCACGTGGTCAAATAAATGGCACTAAAAAACTTAAGTCTCAGGGCTGCAAATTTTTTTATTAGTGTTCCATTCTCCGCTTTGCGTCTACCAAAGTCAATATGTTACATATGTTACATGAGTGTTTTGTAATACTTCATGGTCAAACCGTGCTAATACGGATATGTTAGTCATGCATTTGACAGAGCGAATAAACGAGCGAAGTTGGTTTAAGTCTCCCATGAGTTGTTTTTTTTTTTTTGTAAATAGGCAAAGTCAAGCACAATCAGCTTGAGTAAGCTGTCGTTAATTAGAGACGACTAGAAGAAACCTGGTGAAAAGTAGGCGCGATGCTGAAGGTATATATAATTATCATGATAGAAAAGAACCGCAAGAAATCTAATTATGAAAATAATCGTAGCCAGCAGAAGAGGAATTTCGTAAATCAATATGCTATACATTGTTTTGTAATTTTCTAGGGCTTGAAAAAACGCGGACAGAGAAAGACGGGACAGGTGCTACCGTTATCATCTGTCCTATCTTTCTCTGTCCGTGTTTTGTCGTGCGCTAGAAAACTGCAGTATGAAGTACCAAAACGCCCAAAGTGCAACGGTACTATACATTGCTCCCACCAGAGCGGGCATCATTTGAGTATACAGCGCAATAACTGTGCATTTTTTTTCATGGAACAACATAAGTGGTCCTAACGGGCCTGTCTTTGTCTTGACAGAAACGATGACGATTGGGCGCGGGTGTGGCACGTGGAACGCCACCGGCGCTGCTACCACGAGCTGCTGTCACACATGAGCTGGGTATGCGAGAAGGACATCTACAAGATGCGCCGCCGAAAAAGGGATGCGCCCCTCGACAAGGATGCCGGTGAGAGCTATATGATGTGGGCAGTGATTGCACTTCATCCTTTTCCGGAGCGAAGCTCCTTAAGCGTGCACCTTTGTGTCACGATAGCCAGTGAAGCCCCCTGCGCCGGGCAAGCGCAGCGAGCAAAACAACTCCTTAAGCGCGCACGTCGGCGTCACCATAGCCGTTGAAGCTCCCTGCGCCGGGCAAGTGCACCGAGCAAAACAACATGAGCGTGTTCCTTGCGCAATGGGAGCGCAAGCGCAGTGGCAGATGGCTCGCGCTGCGCGGCGTGCGCCGCACGCTCACTCGCTCACTTGCTCCCGCCACCCAGCGGAGCGAACGCTCTCCCTACCCACTCTCCATCCAACTACCTTCACTGAAGCCAGCAGCGCGATCACTTGTATAGTCGTTTCCATTTCCAAGGAGCTCCGCTTATCGGTTGTATTCGCACATGGAAAAAACTACGAGTTTTTGAAGTGCTTGCGGCCTTGTCATACTACCATGCCGACTCTTGCCATGAAAGCTTAGAGCATATGTGTTGCCTCCTGCTTCCGGAGCTAATAACCACGCGTGTGCTAAGATGATTTACGCAACGATCAGAAAGAATAACTTTTGCGCCAGTGAGTATCCACCACAAAACAGGTAACTGTTTCAAACATGCCCTGAGTTACTTAACAGAAACAAAGATACCTCGCTATCATGCCATCTTTCTTACCTCTTTCGTACCAGTTGCACTTACCTTTTTAAGCATTTTTGTCTCACACACATAATTCACTTATAGAATATTTACGTTTTTGTTTATTTGTATTCCTCGCTTTTTTATATCTTTCACAACTGTTTTTTACAATATTGAAATTATTCCTCGGGATGTGGCTGATAGCTAACGTTGGCTGAGTGGAACGTGCCACCCAAACAGCAGCATCAGTAGTCGAACGACATTTACAGAGCTTGGAATCACAAGTCATAATCATTCATTATGAAATATAGCAATATTTTAGACAGATTAGATGCACCGTAAATGAAAAAAATAGAAAAAAACACGATTAAAAACACACACAACAACGTTATAAGTTCACTAAAGATTTCAACAGTGAAGGCTAAAACATATACCAAACTAGCATTGATGAGATGTTAGTTATACTTTGACACCAATAAGCGGTTTCTCCTATTTTTTATTAATTTTTGTTCACGCAGACTCAACTCAATCTAAACTCAACTAGCTCTGATTACTGCTCATTCAACTCCTGCTTCCTATTCGCGTAGCAGACCTGGCCGAGGTTTTTCTGAAGCCCGAGGCAGCGCTGAGCCTGCTCAGTTCGTCAGCAACGGGCAAGCAGGCCGGCGGAGGACGACGCAAGTCCTGGCGGCGCCAGAGGCTCGGAGGGCGTGGCATCATGGACGAATGCTGCGACGTACAGACTGGCTGTAGCTGGGAGGAGTACGCGGAGTACTGCCCCACCAGTAGGAGGATACGCAACCGCAGGCGCTAAACCAGGCAGGGGTTACTGCGAACGCACGGCCAACGTGAGCCGGTCACACTCTTGAGAACAATGGAAGCCCCTGGTTTACTTTGGTTGAGCTCATTCATTTCCAACAAATGTGTTTACTTACGTGATGAAGGCATGCGGGAGTAAGAACCACTGGAAAGCAGTTTGGCAGTGCTTTCGTGTCTCTCGTGTACTTGGCAGTGCGCAGCAAGAAACACAGAATACACTGTTCAGACGACACATAATGGCACTTTCAACAGGTGATACCACAGTACATTACGGTAACGAAGTTATAATACACGAGAGTAAAAAGTTCAAGGCATGATGGGGCCCACCAAGCGCTTCCTTTGTTCTTTCGAGTGTGAAGAAACGCGTGTAACCAGAAGGCACGTCCGTCATTGAGGAGCCCACTTGAATGAATCTGTGGTGTTCTGGCTGTGACTCGTCACTCCTTCAAAAAAAAAAAAAAGAAAATATCGCATACCAGCAAAGTGAGGGGCATCTTTTTCTTAGCATCGCAGCCTCCATCGCGTCCCTACGGGACAAGACGAAGGCACTGGATCACATAGTTACCAAACCTCCCTATGTCTCTCAATAAGAGCTGGTCTTAGTAAACGTCCCATCATTTCTTCCTTTTGTTGGTGTGTGGTTCACATCTGTTCATGTGTATGGCAATGAGAAGGCAGAGCAAGAAGTAACGCTGCAAGCGGTTAAAGCATAAATGTAGTCAGGTATCCACTCACCCATAGGTAGCCAGATCTGCTCCTTTAAGCTATCATTTACACTGACAAGTTACATTGGGATTTTTGAAACCTACTGCATTTTCCTTTTAGTCCCGAACCTACTTAATCCTCGTATATAAGCATGCATAGGCCATGTAAACAAATAACAAGGCTGATAACACATGTCTTCCATCGTACAACCAAAGTTTAGTCATGGTGATCTGTTTCCCTACCTGGCATTCTTGAGTAATGTTTTTCCTGTTCCTTACCTAGCATGCCTGTGAGCTTCTGTTTAAGCTTCCAGCATTCTTTCTACGGGCACGCTTGTCCGTGTTCCGGTATATTACCTCCAAAAATCACAGATAGTGTGCTGTGGACTGGGTAGATGCACGCGTCAGTGCAAACTTCATTACCCGAATGCCTAATGTCGAGCTTCTGTTGTCTCGTGGTGCCATTGTTTCTTGAATGAGTAACTTTATTGTTTCTTACCGCCATTCTTCTAACCGTCGTTCTTCTTACATTGCTGCTTCACCTGTGGCATCTAGCCAAAGTGCAAAAGCCTTGCGTTTCAGGTGAGCCCTGTTGGTCACCAGCCACACCCCGCTTGACGCAAGCGCTAAAGGGGTGCTGTGATAAAACGTCGTTGTGATATGCAAGAGAGAGCCCTTATCTGACCGATCCTATCGTTGTCCTGGATGTTTGAGGGCCATTGCATGTTCGCGCCTCAGACAGACGCGCCGTCTGGTGACGCGATTGAGAGCTGGGGAAGGGGGAGGAGCCAGACAAGACACATAGCACCATTGTAGCGTATATTCTTGCTGTCCTTCAACTGCATGGACATCCTCAGTGTCCCTGGGAAACAAAATAAAAGAAAACAAAAGAACTCTGCACACAGGGTGCTGAGTTTTCTAGGCGTTAGAGCCGTTCCTTTATTACACCCTTCCCAATCCCTGGAGAGCTCAAGCGCACAGCTTGCGACTCTCCAAAAACACAAAAAAGTTATACTGCGTATGCATAGAAGCATCTTTGAGCACACCTCAGGTGAAATAAAATCTATGTATAGGCTTTTCGAAGCCGCCAAGAAAAATAAAAAAAAACGAGCCCCAAGCGTTGTTCGTGGTGTTGGCGTAAAAATAAAACATCTCAAAATCAATAGAATCTTTCAGTGTCTCATTTTCCTTAAACTAACATCAACGGTCCGGCGTCGATATGTTATGCTAACACTTCCTGTAATCAGCAGGATGTGAAAAGTCACTTGTCGTCGTCATATTATTAGTACTACGATACCAGCACTGTACGTCTTCGAACATTGGACGAAACCGACAAAACAAGTAAGTCTTTCTTCTGGGTCGACTACTCTTAGAGCCACCGGGATGTTTTCTTCGTCACTGTTCAATTTAGCATGGATAACGAAAGAATGTCTTGCTAAGAAGCTGCCGGTTTTAGTTTGTAGGGACAACAGTAAGCTCTCAACCATGTCCCCGCGTTAACTGTCGAGTGTTTAGAGACTATATACTTTCGTTAAGACATCTAGGGGCCACCGTCTTGAGCTGTTAAGCTAATGTTTTCTTGTTTTTGTACACAGGGAGGTGAAATTATAGTGCCATGCAACATTGTATGTACTAACCCAACAGTTACCGTGCATATGCTTCCGCCCTAACTATGTTCGTTTTGCGGTTAAAAAAAAAACGAAACACAAAGGTGGAGAGACCAATAAGGCGGCCCTCAAACACTACCGTAAAATATTCTATATATTATGACGTGGCCACGGCAGTCAAGAACCTGGCAGTTGGGCTGGGGAGGACAAAGCTCTGTATTGAAAGAACTCTAGTGCAGCAAAAAAAAAAAAATTGTAGGCCCGTGTGCTCAGATTTGGGTGCACGTTAAAGAACCCCAGGTGGTCGAAATTTCCGGAGCCCTCCACTACGGCGTTTCTCATAATCATATGGTGGTTTTGGGACGTTAAACCACACAAATCAATCAATGCAGCAAAAAAAAAAAGTCAAAGAACGAGAAATATGCGCTGTGCATTGATAGCAGCTATCAGAGTAGTCGGTTGTCAGTAATCTGCTGATCTGCGACATGGTGAGTAAAATGTATTGGCTTTTAGGCATGCCTTAATGAAATATTTAGCGTAATTGTGGTTGCTCGCGTTAGTTTTATATTGAACTCGGTTATTCATCTACTCAGCCTGACCTCAGCAGAACAACCTGAAAAAAAATTGCGAAGTTTGTAAACACAGTGGAAACATCTCGCGATTTACATCACAAATTCACGATGTGACCTTGGGGGACGTTGTAGAGTGCAACTCCGAAAATATTGCCCATCTGATGTTCTTTAAGGTGCTAAGACATCGCACAGTACATCGGCTTCTAGCATTTGCCTCCATCGAAATAGGACCACCGTCACCAGGATCGGACACGCCACGCCCGGGTCGCTGTGTAACACCGTAACCACCGACCCAGCGCGGCGGACACTTTCTAAACAATGCGGCGAGGCCGGCGAAGAACTGCTGTTATACTTTTTGTGGGTGTAAACCGAGGCAACGGTAATTTCAGGCCTGGTGAGTATTCTTCGCGCGAGTTCGGGCATCACTCCGTTTTAATCACTTTGTGTCATGGTCATCATGTCGGTTGCGAAACTTGGAACGAAAAGTGTCGAAAACTCATTGCCATGGGTATTAGTGCTCGCCGACGAATAAAGCGTGATTGGTTGAGGAGGAGTAAAATAACCAAAACCAAAAACATTTCAATTTTTTTTTCACATCGTCATACCGTAAAAACCCGCGTATAGCCCAGGGTTTTTTTCAAAAATTTAGGGTGCGAAATTTCAGCCCCGTACTCTATGCGGATCCCAAAAAAAAAGTTTCGGCCCGAATTCAGTTTTGGTTTCGGCATTGGTCGGTGCTATCATCATTATCAGGTGTCTGCGCACTTCTACGTTAGGTGGCGTGGTAGCGTGAGTGGCGTTAGTCCTATAGAGACCTATAGGTACAGGCGTGCATCAGGCGAGCAACAGTGGCCATTGCAATCACTTGGCGCACATCACGACGGCGCACATCACTTGACCACATCAGGCGCCTGTATATGGAGTGGATGAGGTCCGGAGAGCCAGAAGTGACCCCTGCCGGACGGCTGAAACGGGCCTCGCCAGCTCTGCTCTGCTCGTGGATCGCCGGGGCGTGGGCCCGCATTCCCGAGGCGCTCGTTTGCCGTGCCTTCAAGAAGTGCTCCATCTCAAACGCGCTTGATGGCACGGAAGATGAGGTGCTGTGGGAGGACATTTTGAATAAGGGAGATTCGGAAGACAGTGTGTCACACGAAGACGACGACTAATCGTGCGCGCGCGTGCGTGCGCATGCAAGTGTGTAAATAAATGCATTTTTTCTGTTTTCCTCGAACAATATTCGCGTGAAAATGTTTTTTCTCGCGTTTGCTATCCCCGAGTTACACCTCGAACTATACGCGGGTTTTTACGGTATTTCAATATGGGTCAAAGCTAACTGTAAATTTACTGTTTGTCTTTCACTTGCATAAATGAATCAGTGGCTCAATTTTTCTATCGAGTGACATAAATGGGGGGCGTATCCAGACGATGTGCTTCTGTTAAAGTTCGGCTTCTTGCCGGGTGCAAAAGGCATCGCTCATTTTTCCTTCGTGGTTTCGTGCGCATCATAAAACCACTGCCAAAGAACATGTTGGCCAGCCATCACGACGGTAGAAGGAAAGCGAGGGCCAAATTCTTGCAAAAAACGTACGCGTCCAACCCAACCGTTGCGTACGTTGACGCCGCCCAATACCGAGAGTTTACTAAAGCATATGCAATAAGCGTAATCACTCTCCCCGGCAACAACGCCAATTCACCTCAAATTAAAGCGGCTGCTTCCGTCCGTGTGCTTAATACGACAGAAGCTGAGGAAGCGGCGATAGCGCTAGCAGCAGCATCCGGATTCACCACTATACTCAGTGACTCAAAGGCTGCTATATCCAACTTCGCACGTGGCATTGTGGCCCCCACAACTCTGCGTTTACTATTGCCCAGTCTCCTTACAGATGCTGAGGAAGACGCACTATCCTCCATTGCGCTGGTATGGGTGCCGGCTCACGCGGGGAACCCAGGGAACGAGGCGGCCCACCTATATGCTCGAGGATTCGTCAGCCGAGCGGTGGTACCCGCCTCTGATTTGGAAAACCCTGGTGAAGCCTTGACATCCTACCATGACATCACACAATATTACCGTCTTTCGAGGCAGACAAAACCACCCCCGCACCATAAGCTAACTAAGCGCCAGGAGGTTATCTGGCGCCGCTTGCAAACACATTCATTTCCGTGCCCATACATTTATGCACGTATATACCCCGACTCGATTGATCCGCATTGCTCGCATTGTGGCTCAATAGCCACACTTAATCACATTCTCTGGGCCTGCAGGGAAGATCCCCCCTCTCTCGATCTCCTAGCCGCTCCCTCGCCAGAGGGGTGGGAGGCAGTTCTGACCTCCACCAGCCTGGCCGTTCAGCTCCAGGCCGTACAAAGGGCAGAGGAGGTGGCCATCAGGTTCAGCCTGGCGGGTCACCTACCTCCTTAAGTCTGACGACAATAAAGTTGTGTTCTCTCTCTTCTCTCTCGTGCGCATCGTCCGTGGTTTATTTATTTGCTTATGCGCTGTTCACAGGCGCGAGACTTCAGAGCTCAACTGGCTCCCAGCATGTGCAGATAGCCGCTCCTGTGACTGCCGACTGCCTTCGCTGGCGCACGGCCGCCGCGCCCTGGCATTTGGTGACGATAAATGCGACACGCTAAGCAACGAGACGCTGTACGTTAGTTACGGTTGCCAAACCGAGGCTGCTGTCTCGCTGCAGTGGTTTTCTACGATTCGTGAACGTGAGTTTTCGAACTATTATGCTATTGTGCTCGTCAACAGTTGTGTCACAATCACGGTGCAAGAATACTTTAGGTGAGTGAACGCCGCGGAGCCAGCGCTTAGCGAGGAGGGACCGATTATGTTCTCGTTTGCAGCAGGCCGATAGATGGATCGCCTGACTGAGGACCGTGGCGGATTGGATTGACCGAGGACCGTGGCGGGCTGCTGGCGAATTCCGCAAAGCACATCGGGCACGTGGGCGGCGGATGTCAAATCTGAGAAAACCGGGTTATCAGGCGATCAACTAGCGGTGGCGCGAAATAGGGGGTGATAAGAGAGGAGGTTGACGGCGCGGTGAGGGTAAGAAGGTGTCCTTGGGCGAGGATGTTGTGGTGACGATAAATAAGCACCGCTACCTTCTTACGTGACGGGCTTTCTTAAACCGAGAGGGGGAGGGGGAGCAGGGACATAAAGTTACTGTATATGCTACCTTTAGGTAGCATATATAAGCTACCTAGAGGTAGCGTATACAGTAACTCTGGACAAAGTTCGTAGCGCCATCTTTAGGGCTTATTTTGAAGCAGAGCATTATCAGGCAGCGGATAGTCCCGGAGTTCGCTAACCTAAAGTATTCTTGCACCGTGGTCATAATTTCACCTGCAAAGAGAGCTTCGGAATAGCGGCTTCACCCACCCACTACCCATATATTTTTTTCTAATAAACCTTTTGATATATATTTCTGTGGTATTGTCTGTATCGTATTTGGATAATAAAAAAACCTTGCTCTCTTAGTCTTTCTTGTTGGTCATCCTTTTCTCTCGAGCATGCAACTAGCAAGCCATCCAGCGCAATGAAAGCGCGTGCTTCTAATGGCACGCAATAGGTGATAAATTAAGAAAAAGTTTTATTTAGTGTGACGTAGGGCAAATGCACGGCATTGCTACCACCTCCAGCTGTGACGTCATATTACATCAAACGCAGTTATGCGATCACAACACGGGTCCCGTCATCCATTAACT